AGAAATTGTACTGACCAGCCATTTTTCTAAGAAAAAAAATCTCAGTGAGTTTGGGCGAAGGCAAATATTCAGCAGCAACCTCTACAGCTGTTAACCTTGGTTTAAAAACAGCAAAAGTTAAAATTACTCGAGGGTTCTTGTATAAAACCCTTGGCCATGTTGTTTTCTTTTTCAAAGTATCCATTTCCATTCCACTTTTCTCTGATATTCTGTAGGGAAATTATATGAATGGTGTGGTCACAGAGCAGAGAGAATATAACAAAAGATACATTCATAAAAACTTCAAAAAACTTAGAGAAGCAATCCCATCTATGTAACAAGAGCACAAGATAGACATCACAGGGGCAGATGATGAGATGGACCTGAAAAAAAAGTGGAAAATAAAAATATAACTAGTGTATTAACGAAATCTATATTGCAAGCAACCCAACAAAGACCTCGATGGGTCAATTGGTTTTATTACTTTTTAGAAATGGCCAAAATGCAGTAATAATAACACGAATAAACCTTACCTGTTTTATAAAATAAATGGATAGTTAAAATTGGACTAAAAAAAAATTGGACTCCATCTTAATTTTCACTAATGTCCTAAAGTCCAAGAAAAGACAGAGAATACTCCCACATTCCAAAAATGATGTACTATACAGCTGATGAAGGAATTGCAAAGAGTTAGCATCCAGCATCCAGGTGACTCAACATTCATCTCAAGGGTATAAAAAGGATGAAGGCTTAGAGGGCTCCAAAGGGACTTCACCAACAGTTTGACCTGGAGCCCATGGAGACTATAGAGAACAGTGTTAACACCAGGCATTCGGTTGGAAAGCCTCAAGAAACCAGCTCGTTCCTCTGAACAAAGAGAAGTGGGTACATTTGGAATAGTCTGCATTTGTAGTTGCTGGGACTTTGTACTGATGAGGGTGGGCTACAAGAGAAAGCCACCCTGCAGTTGGATTTAAAAGGAAACTGGAACTCTAAGAGACAGAGACAGCCATAAACAGCCATTCTAGCAAGGAGGTATTGCCCACACTTGGTGAACTTCAGATGAGAGATGTCCAGTGACAGGGGTCTCCCAAGAACACAGAAAACATCCCCTGATAGTCAGCATTAAACAATTGTCAAGACCAGAGCGCTCAAGGTTGGTGGGTAAATTAGTACAACCACTATGGAAATCAGTATGGATATTCCTCAAAAGACTGAGCATGTGACCAGGCATGGTAGTGCACACCTGTAATCCCAGCAGCTTAGGAGGCGGAAGTAGGAGGATCGCAAATTCAAAGCCAGCCTTAACAATTTAGCGAGGCACTAAACAATTTAGTGAGACCCTATCTCTAAATAAAATACAAAATAGAGCTGGGGATGTGACTCAGTGAGTTCAATTCCTGGAAACCCCCCCTCCCCAAAAAAAGACCAGGCATGGAACCAGCATAGGACCCAGTTATACTGATCCTCGGTATTTCTCAGAATTAAAAGTCATATTACAGTGATACATGTATACCCATGTTTATAGCAGCACAATTCACACAACAGCCAAACTATGGAACCAGCTTAAGTGTTCATCAACAGATGAATGAATAAATAAAATGTGGTATATATTCACAATGAAGTTTTCTTCAGTAATAAAGAAAAATGAAATTATAACGTTTTCAGGAAAATGGATGGAACTTAAAGAGCATTATGTTAAGCAATATAAGCCAAACTGAGAAGATCAAGTGTTGTATGTTTTCTCTCATGTGTGGTAACTAAAGTTTCTCTCATGTATGGGTACTAAAGAGGAAAAAGGAAAAGAAAGGTGGGGGAGCAGGGGAGCTCATTAAAATCAAAGGGAGGGGCGGAGGTTGTGGCTCAGTGGTAGAGTGCTTGCTTCACATGTGTGAGGCACTGGGTTCAATTCTCAGCACCGCATATAAATAAATGAGTAAAATAAAGGTCCATCAACACTACAAAATATTTTTAAAAAACTAAAATAAAATCAAAGGGATACCAGGCTAGGGTTGTGGCTCAGCAGTAGAGCACTTGCCTTGCAAGTGCTGGATTTGATCCTCAGCACCACATAAAAATAAATAAATAAAAGTATTGTGTCCAACTACAACTAAAAATAAATATAAAATAAAATAAAAAAATCAAAGGGACACCAGTAGAGGAAAGGGACCAGGAAGTGGGAAAAGGGAAGGGAGGAAGTGCTGGGGAATGATACTGGCCATTATAGTTATATTTTGTAATATATAACAAAAAAACCCCATCATTATATACAATTATAATACACCAATAAAAAATGCGGAGGGGGAAGAGTGCTCAGAGGCCATCTGTGATGGATCATCATAGTACCAGTGAGGTAAGACCCTCCTTCACCTTTGCTTCTCCTACTTACTCTTTTCCCCTTAGTTCTGGAAAATTCAGAAGTAGCCAGATGTATTGAGCCAGGAAGGAGAAGCACAATAGAAAAAGGGAGAAGCTGGCCACCTTCCTCCCCAGTTGAAGCTTCTCAATAGAGATAAAAACTTTACAAAATTCAGAATGCTATTTAACTGCTTGAAAAGATTAATCATTAAAATTAAAGCTTTTCTTAAATTGACTGGAAGACACTGGCCAAAAGAGTTATGGTACTCAATATTTCATGAAAGGGCCTGGAGAATTTGGATGAGTATACTGGGGAGGGAAGACACAAAATAATAGAATTTTTTTTCCTGCTGTATGTATTCTGTGGAGACCTGTGTTACATTACATTAAGATATGAATTTTCTGTTTCACAAAGCAGATCAAGAGAGAGAGTGAGGTGTAGGAATCAGATGATGAGACAGAGACTGTGAGAAAGTAGGTCAGGAAATGATGACTAATGATAAAGGTCACCCAAGGACTTTTGGAAAACCTGGACGTCTGGTATTAGTTTCAGAAGCTTTGTGCGGTGCTTTGAGGAAGCAAACTTCCATCACCACAGATCTTAAAGATTTTGTTAAATACAGAGTGGATCACTGGTACTTAACAGAGTAAAACAAGGAATGGGAAATGCTTGGTCCAGGAGTCCAATAGGAATGATGTAAAATAACTACAAGATTCTCTGTGAGAATATTCCAATTACTTGTTATTAGGGGGAACTGACCCCTCAAAATGTCATTCAAAAACAAAAACTAGTCACATTTTTCTTGAATTACTAACTACAAAGTGTCACGTACTGCTAATTTTGAAGGCAAATGGTAATTACAGCATGGATGCCAAATTGCATTCCAAGTGCCCTCTAGTGGACATAGTTGGTTTCAGGAATCACTTGTTAGGTTTCAGAGTAACCTTCCAAAATTCAGAAAGGAATGCTCTGTCACTGTACTCTCTCCTCCCTTATTCTCACATTGTCCAAACCCCAAAAATACAACAGTAGGCTTTCTCTAGAGTGATTTTAGCTTACCCTCTTCCCTTTGCTCTTGTCTCTTTTCTGCACCATCTTTCTGGATTCCTGCCTTTCTGGCCTCCATTCTCTACAAAGGCTTGCAGTAGAAACTTGAGATAGCTTCTTGCAATTTAGCAATAAAATTTTCACTTATGGAAAATTTGAAGTTTGTAGTATTCTTTCTCTAGTTATGCTGAAAGGATGAATTATGTCTGGTTTCATTTGCACTTATTATTTGTATAATCATTTGGAGAATGAATAGAAAGATTTAGATTTGGACAGCTATCCTAGAGCCACCTGGAAGTGAATGCTGTTTTTTTATTCTTTGTCTGAAAATGTTACACTCCCATTCTTTTTTATTTTTCACGCCTATTCTTGAAGGATAATCTGTGTAGAACTGTGCCTTAGTAATTATTTCCTTTCAACCCTTTGAAGATTTTCCACTGTCTTTTGGCTTCCATCATTTTTGTTAAGTCATCTATCAATTTAATTATTGCTACTGTTAAAGGAAGTTTTGGGGCTGGGGCTGGGGCTGTAGCCCAGTGGTAGGATACTTGTCAAATGTGAGTCAGGGGGTCATATCTATCTCCCCCTCAAAACAAACAAACCAGGCACAGTGGCAACACAAACCTGTCCCAACTACGTGGAAGGCTGAAGCAGGATTACAAACTTGAGGCTAGCCTATATAATTTAGCAAGACCCTGTTGCAAAATAAAATTTAGAAATGTAGCTCAGTGGTAGAGTGTTTACCTGGCATGTGCAAGGCCCTGGGTTCAATCTCCAGTTTGTGGGCAGGAGAGGAAAAAGTAGTAGACTTTATCTTCTGGATTTAAGATTATCTCTATCTTTGTCTTTCATTTCCAGAAGTTTCACTTGGATGCATCTGAATATAGGTTTCTTTTAAATTTATGTTTTTTGGGATTTACTGAACATCTTGAACGTGCAAATTTTTGGACAATTATCAGAGATTCTCTCAATGCTGCTGCTACCCTATCCCTCTCCCTCCTTTCTTCCTAGGTACTCAAACATTACAAGACATTTTTACTGAGTCCAGTATTCTCTTAACTTTTTCCCTATTTTCCATTTTTTTTCTCTCCTTACTTCAATTTATATTATTTCTCCTGATATATACAGTTCTTACCTTCAAAATATGTGAAATATATGACTGCGTCTCTAGGCCACTGCTTCCTGAATTATAAAAACTCCCAAAGCAAACAGTCCTAAATATGTTGGCCTCACCTCTCTGGCATTTCCTCCTCTGGATTTTGATCCACCAATGACTGATTATAATGGCAACACTTCAGGAAGAGGTTTTCTTTTGTTAACTTTTTACTTCTCCTCAGCAGGAAGATAAAACTATCTAGTCTGTCACAACCAGCATCAGAGTCAGCAAGGTAGTTATTTACAATAGGTTCAATAAACTTTGATCTTCCTTTCCACTAGAAAAAGTGGATTATTCAAATTTGTAAATAGGCATCAAACACAAAACATTTAAAGACAACATTCATTTGTTCATATATAATAAGGCCATCAAGGACTTTAAGAAATTTAAGAACAAAGACCATATTTCACTTTCAGAAACAATGACGATAAAGCTTTCACAGGAAATTGTGCTGGTACCTGCTGTATATGGTTGGCATTTATTTTAAATAAAGAATATATTAGGTCTTCAGAAAACCAGATTTTAAAAAAGGCATCTAATAAATCTATACAGTGAATAGCATGTCTTTATTCTATTTACAGTACATTTGTTATAAATATAATACATTTTTGAAAAGCTTATTTTAATTAACTTGAGTAGATTTATATTTAAACAGATCAACTCAATTTTAAAGTAATATAATAAAATGATTTTAATGACAAAAATCTCATATTGCGAAATAGTGCACTCTATACTGAGATGAATGAGGAAAAAAAGTCAAACTCCCTTCAAAACTATTTTTCAAATCATCAGGAAAAAAAATGATTTTTCTTTACAAAGTTATATATAAGCCATAGGGACCACCAGATACTGAAATATGAAGACTCTATAACCAAAGTTCAAAACTGATTTTGGAGAGTTGTGTGAAGCAAGACAAGGAAAAACTGTACTTAACACTCTATAGAACTTCACAGTAAAGCTGGAATTTATAGACTAATGGCTTAACAGGAGTATTGCCAATAAGGCCTTTCCTTCCTCAAAATCATCTCTTAATATTCATACCACTGACAAGTTGTAACAGCAGACTTAGACATTGTTTTTTAAGACGGGGCATAATAAGGTGCATGGATATGTTGAAATCTGTATTATGAGCATGTAAATTATTACCAGGTTTAAAGAAAAAAAAAAAAAAAGAAAGAATTTAAGTATTCTCAGTCCAACGTGCTTTACATCATCAACAAGGTGACAGGTTGAAGTATTTTGCAGCAATCAGACACCAACCTCCAAAAAGTTAGGTATTTCAAATACTGCTGTAAAAACCATTCAGCAAAATTAAACTGATTCTTGTGGATTTCAGTATAAATTTGCAAGTTGTCACATATTATTGATGATGATCAGGGCAGGCATGGAGTTCTGCTGACTGGTTTCAAACACTGTAACTTGGTCCGATAACTTGGCAAACACCCTAGGAGTTCCAAGGTTATAAACACCTGTATGAACAAAGCAAGCTTTCAGCTGCAAACTGTGAATTTCCTGGCTTTTAAGCTGAAGTTTATATTGTGTCTGTCCAAGCCATGTGAATGATCCATGGATTTCCAATGCTTCTGGACTAAAGGAGAAGGAAAATGGTAAGTTGCAGGGGTTTTTCTCCCCCCCACAGTCCCATTACCATGATGTCTTTCATCTAATACTTTTATTTCTAGAAATTATTTCATGAAGACAACTGTTTATTAATAATAACAACACATTACTATAATGCTTACCATGTTTTAACAGTTACTACTTTCTAAGCACAATACTCTGAGAAGATTATCTCATTTAATGCCCACAAAAGCAGCTAGTAAATGATGGAATTTGATTTGAAAATTAGCGAGGGAAAACTTTAATGCCTCTGAAACTCTTCTGTAATACCACACCACAAATTAGGGCATGATTGAGTAACTTTCTCTATCAATGTTAAGGCAATTATCTGAATAATTTTAAAAAAAAGTAAAATCTTCTAAAATTACATTAAATCTTAAGCTACAAAATAAACTTTCACTAAATAAATCTTTACCTTGTTGTTTTATGCCGGAGATCAACAATCACATCTACATCAGCCTTAGAGCAGTTAGAAAGTAAAAGGGTGACTGGTACTAAACAAAGGCTATAGAAGAAAAATAAACACAAAAAGTTAGCTGTGTATTTTTTCTTAAAAGCAGCTTTCTTAAAAATAACACTTATGAATATCTAACAGGGCTGGGGATGTAGCTCAGACTACAGAACTGGCCTAGACTTGGGTTCCATTCCTAGCACCACAAAACAAAACCAACACACACATTTGAATATCTTAACAGAACACATGCACTTTAAAAATTTATTCAAGAGCTGGGTGCGGAGGCACACGCCTATAATCCCAGTGGTTCAGGAGGCTGAGACAGGAGGATCTCGAGTTCAAAGTCAGCCTCAGCAACGGTGAGGTGCTAAGCAACTCAGGGAGACAATGTCTCTAAATAAAATAAAAAATCGGGCTGGGGATGTGGCTTAGGAGTTGAGTGTTCCTGAGTTCAATCCCTGGGACCAAATATATACATGTTCAAGTAAGGGAAAAATCAAGTTCCAAAATGATTTAAGATAATTTACTTTGTAAATAATAATATATTAATACAATGCCTCAATACTAAGTATCAGTATCCCTAAACAAAAAACTACCCTAGGTTGTGTTGGTGCTGTGCCCTAAGCTCCCCCACAAATTTCTCACATGGTGGGGAGGGTAACAAAGACTGATGTGTAGGTTTCCAGTCTATAGCATCTCATTAAGTTAAACCTCAACTGCATAATGTAGACCAAAGCAAAAACCCAGGAATTTATGCTATTCTGTTCCCATTTGATCCTCAAATGTCAAATTCTTTATGCCTTATTTAAATGCTACTAGAAGAAGAAATGTGAACAAATGTGAACAAATATCCAAATAGATATTTCCTGGTCTCTCCATTCCTTATTCTCTTCCTCCATTAACTACCTCTGTAAAGAGCACCCACGTTTATCCTAGCAAAATTTAGGCATCAGACTGACTCCTCCTACTGCCTCAATAGTCCCCCTTTCCAATCTTCTTCACAAATTCCTGTCAAGTCTGTCTCTCAGGCATTTCTGGAAAATTAATTAATTCACTCTACCTCATTTTCCTTACAAGTTCAAGTTACCATGTGTCTTGACGTATGCAGGAGCCTTTTGTTTGCAGTTCTGGGAATCAAACCCAGCACCTTGCAAATGATAGAAAAGTGCTCTACCACTGAGCTACATCTCTACCCCTATTTATTTTATGTTGAGACAGGGTCTCACTACATTGCCCAGGTTGGTCTCAAACTTGTGATCTTCTTGCCTAAGCCTCCCAAGTAGCTGGGATTCCATGCTGATGCAATTCAATCTTTCCAAATGAGTGTTTTTTACACTTGAGCATGCACAAATACCATCTGGTGGGGCACATTAAAAAAAGTTCCACTCCTAGAATTATCTGATTCAGTATGTCAAATTCCCAGATGCTACTGCTGCTGGTCTGGAACAACATTTTGAAAACCACTGCTTTATAAAGTAGTCTTTCTGAACTACTAAACTGACAAGTCACAAATACTGCCCAGAAACCAAACTGCTGACAATGATTCCATAAACTCTGCATTTAATTATTTGATTATTATTAAAGGCCTTGGCTTTAGAGTCAGTTTATTAGAGTTCAAATATTAGCTCAACAGCAACCCTGTATCTTACTTTGCTCAACTGTAAACTGGGAATAATAATAATAATGCCTAACTCTTCTGGGTTTTTTGTGATGACTGGGTAAAATAAAACACATTAAGTACTGAGAATGACCAGTAAATACACTTTCTAAACCTTCATACACACCATCCAATATATGTTTTGACTTTTGAAAAGCTTATGGCACCTAACCTAGCATAATTCATTTCTTTGTTATCTCACTTATTCTTTCTTATATTCTCATTTCTCTACTGCTTCAATGTTCTACTGCCATGACCAAACCTCCTACTGCCTCATTCCTTCCCACATTTCTTCTTTTCTTTTCTGGAATACCAAAACCCTATATCCTCAATCTCTTCTATGTTTCTACATCTAACTTCATCTAAAAGTTGGCTAGGTATACAACTTGCTGGATAGCCCTTCCTTATAGTAATACGTACTGCATTTCTTTTCTTTTGTGGTATAGAGATTGAGCCCAGGTTTGCTCTACCATTGAGCTACATCCCCAGCTCTTTTTATTTTGTATTTTGAGACAAGGTCTTGGCTAAGTATCCCAGGCTGACCTTTAACCTGCAGTTTGAATGGAAATCTGCCTCAGTTTTCCCAATAGCTGGTCTTACAGGTATTTGGTATTTGGTATGCCATCACACCTTGATATATGCTATATTTTCCCAACATCTTCCACATCTTGGGGTTATTGATGTAGTTCTCAACACCAATCCTTGACGATTTTCTCCTCCTACCTCTCCTGTAAGGAAACCTTCATTCTTTTGTCATATGCTATGCCAGAGCTTTTATATTTTCTTCTGTCCTTATGCTGACAAACTCACAGCAGTGATAGTAACATAGCAGCAGGGATTCTTTGGGAAGAGAGAAAGCAATGGGTATTTTGAAATATTTTAGGTACAGGTGAGGCATGTGTAGGGTGAAACATACAAATGCACCTGTTCTAGCCATCAAGCAGATACATAGCACCTAAGTTAGGACACTGCCGTAGTTCTCCCCTCCCACATTATCTACTGGCTTCATTTTAAAAGCTTTGCCATGTGTTTGCTTTCTCCCTTTCAATCTCAAGTCTTGTCGTTAATTTGGATAACTTCACTGTCTAGATACATGACTCACATTCAACAACTTCTCAAATTCCTGACTTGCCATCTCCATAATCTGTAGTACTATTCAAAACTCAGCCACCCAATTTTCATGACCATATCACAAACTTTTTTTAATCACCCAAAAAAGCTATCTCTGAAATAATTTTCAGTCACCCATTCTCTGACCACTATTTCCCAGCTATTTCTCTTGCTCTCTCAATTACCCTCTCTAGTTTCACAAGGATGAGTAATCACTCAGGTCTCTATTTCAAAATTGTTCCCAATCTTCGTTACTGTGATAATTGTTCAGCAGTTATTTATTCCCTTTACCTTCCCTGTGGGATTGTGAATCATCCATGTTGACTATGGAGGTGAGACTATTTTCCCTATGGAAAATAGTCTTCTATGCAATCAGAAGCGTTAAATGTATACCTGTAATTTGATTCACTTTTTGTACCCTAGAAATATGCAATGTCAAGAGGGTGGCTGCTGCTCCTCTGGATTAAGCCCCAAATGTATGTGGCACAGAGGCCTGAAAATTGGGTTCAATCCCCAGTAGCACTCAAAACAAAACAAAAAATACAGATGCCTGATTCCTACTCTCAGAGAATCTGATTTAATTACCATGAGTTTTGGGAGTTTCTAAAATTCTCAGTGATTCTAATATGCAGCCAAGGTTGGAAAAAACTGTCACATTTTATATTTATTTTATCCTTGAGCTGGCCTGCACTTTTCTCACATACTTCTAAGCACAGTTTTGATTCTGTGATGCTTCATGTAACCACTCTTCTGGTTTGATCTATCCTGCTTTACATACTTCCCTACAATGCCTAGATCGTATGGTGTCTTCTAATTCCAATAGACTAGACATTGTGGCAAATTCCTAAATATCCTAACCTCTAAGGTAAAGCCCACTAAAGTTGAGAAAAATCATCATGGAATCTAAGATTTTTTAGAAAATACATGAAGTAAGACAGGATTAATAAATATGGATAAAGTAGAACAGGATTAAATGGAGTATCATGCCAGGTGTGGTGGCACATGCATTAATCCCAGCAACAAGGGAAGATGAGACAGGAGGATCGCAAATTCAAGGCCAGCCTCAGCAACTTCGCAAGGCCCTAAGCAACTTAGTGAGACTCTTGTGTATGTAGCTTAATGATAAGAGTGCCCCTGGGTTCAATCCCTAGTACTAAAAACAACAACAATAACCCACCCTCAAAAACAAAAATTAAGGAAACAAAACTGTGCATGGAGCTATGTGAAGCCAAGACAGGTTCAATAAGAATAAATATGAAAGCCCTCCCACCCCCTCAGCTTTGGCCATACATTAGAATCACCTAGAGCACTTTAAAAAATCCAGATGCCCAGCATCTAACCTGGGCCCATCAAACTGAAATCTCTGCAGTAGAACTGAAGCATTAAGTATCTGTATTTCTTAAATTTCCCTAGGCGATCCCAGTGGTGCATCTATTTCAGACAAAGGCATACAAAATGGAGTTTTGCATAGTAATACCTCAATAAAGATTGAAGATCAAAATTATTTTTAAATTAACTTAAATGGCTAATTTTAAAAATCTGACAAGAGTAAGTATGGATAAAGGTATGGAACAGAAGGAGCTCCCACTATATACTCCTAGTAGGACTTGCAAATTGGTAAAATCACTTTGGGAAAGTCCCTGGGCAAATCTGAAAAGGGGGCGAGGGTGGGGGAACAAGCACATGAACCAGGACAGGTACACAAAAATATTCAGTGGCAGAAATCAAAGCACTTCAAATTTAAAAATAATCCAAAAGCCCATCAAAAGTAAGGTAAATAAATGAATTCTCCTACATTCAAACTTATAATTCCACAGTTTCGGCAGTGGTTGACTCTTACTGACATATTAAATTTAAAAAATGGATATAAAATAAATATACTCTGTGTAATACAGCTTAACATAACAAAGTTCAAAAAAACATGCAAAAAAGGGTAGGGGTTGAACCATTTAAGTTAATTTATAAATATTGTTTATCTTAAACATTTGTCAAGGTCTTCTTTTTGCCCAGAACTCCAGTGTGTCCTCAGGCAGCTTGTCAATCCTCTCAATAGATATAACTTCTCCTTTTCCAAATTCTCTACCTTTGACTCTCTTATCTAAGATTACTCTAAGTAGTTCACCTTGCTCCTATAAACACTCCCTAAGATGGAAGTGCTCTATAATGCATAGACTTGCTAAAATTTCTTCCTGCTTTCTTCTTTCCGTTTCAACATAAATTTAGTCCAAAGCTAATCCTGTCATTTATCAGTGTGTATATTTTTCTAGGTATTAAGAATTCCAATACTCTCCTTGTATCACATCATTTTTTCCAATACTATAAACATTCACATATCTTATCTAGTACACAGATATTAGCAGATATTCCCTGATCCCCATTCAAGGACACCCCTGACCACATGAAAGAGTGGTCAATACAGTAAATTCAATTCCTTACCACCCATTCTCTCCTCAACCTACTATTACCACGTTTCTACCCCACTAAATACTGATAATCTTCTCAAAAGTCATAAATGACAACTTTATTGTCAGGCCCAGTGAACAAACAGTTTGGTCCATATATTATTTGATATTTCCAGACTATGTTTAACTGTTCACTACTTCTCTATCTTCAACAGTTGCTACTTGACCTTTGAAATTCCACTTTCTTCTAGTAGGTCCTTTCTTTCTGTAATTGCTCCATTTCAGTCAGTCTTCTTTGTGGGCTCCTTTTTCCTAAGCTCATCTCCCAGGTATCATTGTTCATTTTCTTTTTGTCTTACCCATCCCCAGCTCTATCCCCTGTGACTCCACCAAAACTCATAACTTTAATTATCACATTATTCTAATAAGCCTCTATCTTATATTTGCAAATTGGAAGCCTTTTGAAGTGTCACCATATTTAAGACATTTTATTTTAGAACTTCATATGTTCAGTCTATTTACCAAAATTACAAATACATCTTGCCCAATGAAATTTAGCACTTAATAAATCTTCAGAAAAGACACCATCTAAATTTGAATTGTTAGGAGTTTATACTAGAGTCATGTTGTGACTGAAACAATTTAAGAATGTTATTTCTTCTCCTTGTTCCTAGAAAGGAAACTTCTAGCAACTCAGAAATGGCCAGGCAATGTCCATGCACAACTGCATCATATAGTAATTGTGGTAAAGTGTAAATTACTAAAAAGTAATTTCTATGGACTTGATATTATTCTAAATTTCTTAGGTATTTGGGTTAATGCCATTGCCTGAGTAAATAAGAAAATAATAATACACAAAGTGTGTAACTTTGTGTGTGTGCATATATTATAGGAACATTCTAATAAAATGAACCTCAAACCTTTTTTGATGAAATGGATGATTAAATGATTCTGGGTAGTGAAGACTCGTTTTAATGAGATTAGAAAGCTGGTCTACTGATGGTCTTGAGGAAACTGCAGTGTTTTCTGGCCTGAAAAATTTTAACAGTTCCATTTCTGGTAATTCCTGGGAAAAGACAAGAAAAGATTTATGACAATAAAAACACTGCTTTGTTAAAAAGATGGGGGGGGGGGGGAGGAAAGTGTAAACAAACAAAAGAAGTTAAAACCAGTAAAGAGAATATAAAGGATAAACAGTTTTCTGCTATTAACTAACAGTTGTTATCATCTGCACTGTAATCCAGAATAAAGTTATCAGGATCTGAAATTATAAATTCACTTATTCATTTAGTGCTGGAGTTAAGGTTCAATTCCAACAATTTCACAAATTAGCTCTGTGATCTTGAATAAGTTACTTAATATTTTATGACTGATTTCATAAAAAAGTGGGTTCAAACAGTGTTAGATTTTTATCAAAGTTTGATGTGATTCTCATTCAGTAAAATTGCTTAGAACTTTGGGTGTAAACATTCAATTGCATAGCATCTGTTTTAATAGTTGAAAATCTGGGGCTGGGGTCATGGCTCAGTGGTAGAGTGCTTGCCTAGCATGTATGAGGCACTGGGTTCAATTCTCAGCACCACATATAAATAAGTAAAGGTCCATCAACAACTAATAAAATATTTTTTAAAAAAATAGTTGAAAATCTAAGGTTGACTTAAAATTCAATTTTGAAAGAATATTGCTATAGATTATAGTGCTTTAGCTATATTGGTTGAAGGTTAACAGCATGTAAAAAATCAATACAGCCAGCATTAGACATATTATAAATATTTTTTAAATATTAATTATTATTATCTAAATGAAAATAGAAGTATCCTATATTATTTCTTTTTTAATTATTTTCATTGTATTTACCCTCCCACACACAAGAATTTTGATTTTTAGTTTCCTGCTAGCCTAGTATGATTCTGACCTATACCCAAAGACTGGCAAATTACAGCCAATGGTCCAAATCCAGTTTGCTTCCAGTTTTTGTAAAGAAAGGTTTATCAAAATAGAGCCACATCCATTTATTCACAAGTCTTTACAGCTGCTTTTGGATTCCACTTATAGAGACTGCCTATCCAGCAAAGACCTGAATATCTATTTTCTGGCCTTTTTCAGAAAAAGTTTGCTGATCTCTAAATCTATGTGGTTATAAAAAGCCAGCATTCAATTTGTTAAAAAATGAACACTGCAGTACTGATTCTAATAATGAGGTCCAGAGTCAACCCACTGACTACTGAAACTAAAAAATCACCAGTGTGTGTATGTGTGTGTTATAAAAATTTATAATAAAAATAAATTATATAAATAATCATTCACACACACACATATATATAGTGCTTTTATATATATATATAATAAAAATTTATAATAAAAATAAATTATATAAATAAATATGTCATTCACACACACACACACATATATAGTGCTTATATATATTTATTTATTTTATTTTATTTTTTCCCCAATAACATGCTGATGCTATCGGTGCAGGGCCCTGGGTTCGATCCTCAGCACCACACAAAAATAAATAAACGAAATAGAGGTATTGTGTCCAACTACAACTAAAAAATAAATATTTTTTTAAAAATTTTAAATTAATAAATAAAAAAACCAAAGAGTATATATTCTAGTAAGTGTTAACAGATAAGTATATAACCATATGGGCCAACAATTTAATGTCTAGAAATTTATTCCATAAAAAAAAATGTAAAAAGCAAAACACTTGAAACTCGTGTAATACACAAATATATGGAAATTGACTAAAAAAATACCATCTAATGATCAAATAAAATCTTATGAAAATCAAAAGGAGAACAGTAGAGTAAAGGAAAGGGACTAGGGGAAAGGAGGGAGGGGAGAAAATACTGGGGAGTGATATTGGCCAAATTACATCGTTATATTGTGTTCATGTACAAATATTTAACAATGACTTCCCAACATGATGTGTAAGTAAGTATAATGCACCAATTTAAAAAAAAACATGGAAAAAATAAGATAAAACAAACAGGAGAAGGGAATGGGATTGTGGCTCAATGGTAGAACACTTGCCTCGCATGTGTGAGACACTGAGTTCGATTCTCAGCAAGGCATATAAATAAATGAATAAAATAAAGATCTCTCAACAACTAAGAAAATTTAAAAATAATTAAATAAACAGGAGGAGAATTCTTCAGAAAGATTAAAGGTTGCACAAGATCTTAAGTAACACAGTTCTATTTGACCCCTAAAGCCCATGCATTTAATAACTGTGTTATCTTCTTTCTTCTAACCATATGATTTAAAATTAAAATTTTGTGTATCTTTTGTTGCTTAAACAAGAGGATCCAGATTATGAGGACACCCCCCTACACCTCCAGGATTGTTAAGAGAAGTACCGATTTGAATCAGTGCTTGATAAATGACAAACACACAATAAATGATATATATTATTTACCTATGTGATTGCATTATTCCCTGGTACCAAATAAGAGAATTTCCTGTAGCTAAATATAATATTTTTTAAAAAGCACTTGTATAAAATACACTATTTCAGACTTTAAACAAATTTAAATTTACAATGAAAGACTCAAAACACAGGAGTGATGCACTAACTATGTTAACATATGCCTACTTTGGATGGGTTAGTTGCCTACCTTTCAGAAGACTTGAAAACTGATATTAACCTTGGTGATTTCACCTTTTTCCAGAGTCTGTCATTCAGGCTTACAGACTCAAGTCCTTTATATTATCATCTTCTTGGAAGTTGCACTACAGAGAGATGCTAAATCACTATAACTGAGTTCACATAGATGGGATATATTCCAGTCATCCAAAAAATTGAAACTTCTAAATTATACTGAATTAAGGTAGATGACCTAAGTGATAGTATAAGCTTAGCATGCATTAGGCCCTGAGAGTTCAATCCACAGCACTGAATAAATAAATTATACTGAGTAAATTCTATATGTCATTTGCCAGGAGAAAAACATATGAACAACAGCCAATAAAGAATACCTATAGCCAGAAGCTCATTTCCTGAGAAAATATTTAAAAATGTTTCTCTCTTCTGGCTTTAAAGCAACAAGTATCTTCACAATCAATGCTAGACAATTTGTAAAATAATTTCCCAGTAAGAGTTTGATTCTATTTTGTGAACACCACAAGAAGGAAAATATATAAAGTACTGTTAATCATTGTTTTATAAGTGAGTAATAAGCTAAGCTTCATCAAGTTAAGCAATTCTCAGTAGGTCATCAATATTAGTCTTTAATCACAATGTGATGAAACTGCCTTGTTGGAGATTAGCAAGATGGTAGAATAAAGAAGGTCATGTTGCTGGCTGCTCCATGGAGTGATACCAAGAAAACTGAAAGGCAGCTTCTCAGCAAGAAAGGTACTGGATACCTTCGGGAATACTAATAAGTCCACAGGGTAGAAAATCTACTGCCTTAGATCCATACTGTCAGATGGGAAGACACACAATCAACATGAAAAAGCCAAGGGAACAAATCACCCCAAGCAAACCAAGATATTCCAATAATAGAATCCATCAGCACCACAGTGGAAGAATGTCAGAGAAAGAGTTTAGAATGTACACAATTAAACTGATCTGCAAAGTAAAGGATGATAAAAGAGAGCAAACACAAGTAGCAAAAGATCATTTCAATAAAGAGAGATTCTGAAAACAAACAAACAGAAATCCTTATAAAGGAAAAAATAAGCCAAATTAAAAATTCAATAGAAAGCAGTGCCAACAGATTAGACCACTTGGAAGACAGAACCTTAGGCAATGAAGACAAAATATGTAATCTTGAAAATAAAATGGCCCCCAGAGAGAAGATGCTAAGAAACCATGAACAGAATTTCCCAGAATTATGGGAATAACATGAAAAGACCAAATTAAAGATTTATCAGGATAGATGAAGGTACAGAGATACAAACCAAAGGTATGCACAATCTTTTCACTGAAATATCAGATAATTTCCCAAATCTAAAGAATTAATGGGAAAATCAAATATAAGAGGCTTACAGGATCCCAAATGTGCAAAATTACAACAGACCCACATCAAGGCACATCATGATGAAAATGCCTAGCATACAGAATAAGGATAGAATTTTAAAGGCTGAGAGAGAAAAATACCAGATTACGAATAGGAGGAAACCATTAAGGATCTGAGCTGATTTCTCAACCCAGACCCTCAAAGCTAGGAGGTCCTAGAATAACATATACCAAGCTCTGAAATAAAATGGATGCCAACCAAGAATCCTATATCCAGCAAAATTAAGCTTCAGATTTGAAGATGAAATAAAAACCTTTCATGTTGAACAAAAATTTAAAAAGAACTTACAACCAGAAAGCCTTCAGAATATTCAACAAAATATTCCATGAAGATGAAATTTAGAAAAAAAATTGAAGGGAGGAACTACACTAAAGGAACAGTCAATCAAAGTAGAAACTAATTCAAATTAAAAACTAGAGATAAACGAAAATGACCAGAAACACAAATCTCATCTCAATATTGAACATTAATGGCCTAAACACATCAATCAAAAGACATAGTCTGGCAGACTGGATTAAAAAACAAGACACAATACTATGCTGTCTCCAACAGACTCACCTCATAGGCAAAGACATCCACAGACTGAAGGTGAAAGGATGGGGAAAAAAAGCATCACTCATATGGATCAGATAAACAAACGGGTTTCTATCCTTGTATCAGATAAAGTGGACTTCAAGCCAAAGTTAATCAGAAGGGACAAAGAAGGACACTTCATACTGCTTAAGAGAAGTGGAATATAACAATCATAAATATTTATGTCCCGAACAATGGAGTATTTGTGTATATTAAACCAACCCTTCTCAACTTCAATACTCAAACAGACCACAACACAATAGTACTGGGTGACTTTAACACACCTCTCTCACTACAGGATAGATCTTCCAAATAAAAACTAAACAAAGAAACTCTACAACTACATAATATAATCAAAAATTTAGACTTAACAGACATATATAGAATATTTCATCCATCAATGACTGAATACACTTTCTACTCAGTAGCACACAGATCCTTCTCTAATATAGACCAAATATGTTGACATACAATTGCAATATTACCATAATATATTTTTAGCATCTGAAAGGCTATTTTGATAGCTCCCTTTCCATTGATATTAATTTTTTGTGTTCTTGCTTTTTTCTTGATTAGGCTTCTTTGATTTTTTAAATTATTTATTTATTCTAATTTGTTATATATAATGGCTGAATGCAATTCATTTCATTTTACACATATAGAGCACAATTTTTCAAGTTACTGATTGTATAGAAAGTATTTTCACACCATTCATGTCTTCATACATGTATTTAGGGTAATGATGTCTAACTCATTCCACCATCACTTCTACCCCATTGCCCCTACTCCCCTTTGCCCTATCTAAAGTTCCTTGATTGCTCCCATCACCATTATGAGTTAGCATTCTCGTATCAAAGAAAACATTTGGTCTTTGTTTTTATGGGATTGGCTTACTTCACTTAGCATTATATTCTCCAACTCCATCCATTTACTTGCACCTAACAGAAGAAAAAGTAGGCCCAAATCTCCATCATGTCGGATCTGGCCTCAACTTTCTTAATAAGACTCCTATAGCGCAAGAATTAAAACCAACAATCAATAAATGGGATGGATTCAAACTCAAAAGCTTCTTCTCAGCAAAAGAAACAATCTGTAAGGTGAATAGAGAGCCTACAGATGGGAGCAAATGTTTACCTCAAGTACATCAGACAGAGCAATATCTCTAGAATATATAAAGCACTCAAAAACCTTAATACCAAAACACCAAATTACCCAATCAATAAATGGGCCAAGGAACTGAACAGACACTTCTCAGAAGAGGATATACAATCAATCAACAAACATGAAAAAATGTTCAACATCTCTATCTAGCAATTCAAGAAATGCAAATCAAAACTACTCTAAGATTTCATCTCATTCCAGTCAGGATGGCAGCTATCAAGAATACAAACAATAATAAGTATTGCCAAGGATGTGGGGAAAAAGGCAGACACATACATTGATGGTGGGACTGCAAAATGGTGCAGACAATCTGGAAAGCAGTATGGAGATTCCTTGGAAAACTTGGAATGGAATCACCATTTGACCCAGCTATCCCACTCCTCAGTTTATAACCAAAAGACTTAAAAACAGAATATTACCGGGACACAGCCATACCAATGTTTATAGCAGCACAATTCACAATAGCTAAATTGTGGAACCAACCCAGATGCCCTTCAGTAGATGAATGGATAGGGAAATTTTGGTATACATACACACAATGGAACATTACTCAGCATCAACCATAGTCTGCATGATTTCAATTTTTAAAAAAAGTAATGGAAGTGCTTTTTATATTGATTGTTTTCATACATGTCAAAACTGATCAAACTGCATACTTTAAATATGTGCATTTTATTGTACTTCAATTTTTACCTCAATAAAGCTATGAAAAAAAGAAATTGCCTTGTCTTCCAAGTTTAAATTTTCTTTATATATATGATATATATATAAACATATAATGTATATATATATGTATAAAATATATATAACATTTACTATCATTACCAAGTTTTTTTTTTACATATATATGAGAGAAAGAGAGGAGGGGAAATATAAACTATTTTAATAATATGTGAAATGGTGATATACAGAGAAATAAAAGGGCTATGCCAATATATACTATGTAAAATGAGAATAAAACTAAAGTTTATAGAAACATACAACTTCATTTTCTAAATGCTGTCTTGATGTTGTCTTAGACACTCCAAAATATCAAAAGTTTATGACATTTAGAACTAAAACTTGAAATTTTTATATTAACTGAAGTAAGAAAACCAATTTCCTTAAAATAAGCAACAGATTTGAGATTAAATTTAGTATCTCCATTAAAACAAATGGAGGGCTGGGGATGTGGCTCAAGCGGTAGCGCGCTCGCCTGGCATGCGAGCGGCCCAGGTTCGATCCTCAGCACCACATACAAACAAAGATGTTGTGTCTGCCAAAAACTAAAAAAATAAATATTAAAATTCTCTCTCTCTCTCTCTCTTTAAAAAAAAAAATCTTAAAAGAAAACTAATGGAAAATTACTATTATATAATATCAACAGAGTAAAAACTGATTCAAGTTATAGACTTACCAACAGATGCTAAAATTAGTAGAGAAACCAGACATTTACATTTTCAAATGAACTCCACATACATTATTTACTATTAGGAAAAGTAAAAAAACAACTTGTGGAGAAATATGGTAGACACTACCATAAGGAAATCATAAGGAAACATGAGAAGAACCCAAACAAGATACTATGCTACAAAATTACCTGCCCAGGCTCTTCAAAAATGTCAAAGTAAAAATCAACAACAACAACAACAACAACAAAAGGGTAAGAAACTATTCCAGATTAAAACAGACTAAAGAGACAGGACAACTAAATGCAATGTGTGATCCTGGATAGGAAAAACCAAATAGTTACAAGGATATAATAACCAAAATCTCTGGTGATACCTGAACACGGACAAGTTATGCATCAATTTTGAACTTCCTGACTATCTTGACAGTCATTTCTGATTATGTTACTGTCTTTATTCTTAGGAATATACAATGTAGCATTTAGGGACAGAGAGCTATAGGTCTGCAGTTTACAATAACTACTTGAGAAGGATTAAGAAAACAATTAATATACATGTAAATTTTAAAAAAGGATAAAGCAAGTAAGACATATGTTAACCACTGGTGATTCTGAGTGAAAAGTGTGAGAGAGATCTATATATTATTCTTGCAACTTTTTCTGTAAATTTGGGAACTATTTTAAAATAAAAATAATAAAAAATAATAGGGGCACACCATGCAAATTATTTATGAACACAACATTAGAACCACCACTTAAATAACTGGACAAAATTATTTATTAGTGACTAAATTTTCTAAAAGAAATTTTTAGCATGATTAAATGGTATTTTAGAAAAAGAAAGAAATCATATTAAACACTATTGCTGCACAACTCCAGAGGCCACCCTTTACATGTTATAATGTCCTCTAGAGTTCTACAATGGTGTGGTGCTGTTATAACAAATAAAATATAGAGAATACGCTTCCCTTCCTCTCAAGCAAATCACTTCTTTACATAGTTAGGAATTCTAGATTTAATATAGAATATATCCTAGGAAAACTCACGTTTATAAATGCATTTTAATACTCTTATAGGTGCTTATCAACTTTAAAATTAATATCTGTTCATTTTAAATTTTATTTTCTTGAGGTACTGAGGAATGAACCCAAGGCCTCAGCACTCTAGGGAAGTGCTCTACCACTGATCCACATCACCAGCCATCAATTCTAATTTTAGTAAGTTGTCTGCTACCAAACCAACCCAAATCCCAATATAAAATCCTGAACAAATCAGATCTCTTCAAAATACAAAAACCAATCAAACTAAAAACTCCCACAAGTTCACAGGAAAACCCCAGAGCAAACTACATTATTACCTGTTTCTGAGGATAAGAAAAGGCTTCTTTTCCTATAGTGCGAAGAATAACATGATGCTGACCTTCCAAAATAAGCTGCTTACTGTCTTCCACAACATATGCCTTAAAAACACAAAGCAAAAAATGTTACCCTCTTTGGCAATAACTGCAAAAGTAAGTAACTAAACATTTGATGGAAGGCAGAAATACTTTGGCTAATATGTATAAATTATCAATAACCTTGGATGGCTGTGTCAGCATTTCAACTTTTATTTATTCATTCAATCAATAAAGACTGTGCCCCCAAAACCTCTTTTGATTCAATATAATTTATCTGGCCTGGGTGTTTTAAAGAGATAAATCTTGAAATCTTTCCTAATTTTCTACTTAAGAAACTTCTTCAAAAGAATTATGTCATAACACATGGTTTTGCCCCTCTATCCTTACTGAACTGCCAATATATAGGGAAAAGGTTTCCTTTTACATTCTTGCTTATAAAAATGCCCCAGGGTTCATCTCATAGCAGAGAAAAATTAGTGAGTGTAATCATAAATCCTATCAGTGGAAATGTGATGTCCTTGGAACACCTTAAATATAAATACATATGCTTTAATAGGCTTTTTTTTCCTTCTAAAGACAGTAAGCCGATTTCATCTATATTAAGTAATTGTTCCAGTTTATAAATCTCCCTCTTTAACTGCTTGTTTCAAAGAACATATCTTTAAATGGCTCTGATATACTGTTATTGTCACATCATGTAAACATAGTTAAAAAAAACTGGCTTTAAAAAATTAAGCCTATTAGATTCAATAAACAAAAATTTACTCAGTCAAAATGCTATAAAAAGTTTCCAGCCAGGCACAGTGGTGCACGCCTGAATTCCAGTGGCTCGGGAAGTTGAGGCAGGAGGATCCTGAGTTCAAAGCCAGCCTCAGCAACTGTTAAGCAAGTCAGCAACTGCGAAGCAACTCAGCGAGACGCTGTCTCTAAATAAAATACAAAATAGGGCTGGGGGTGTGGCTCAGTGGTCAAGTGCCCCTGAGTTCAATCCCTAGTACCCCCCCCCAACATAAAAAAAAAGTTTCTAAATGTGTGTTTACTTCCAATTTCTGAACTTATCTTACTAGGGATAAAACCCAGGGCTTCACACATGCTAGGCTAGCACTCTACCACTGAGCTAAAACCCAATCTCCCAACGGTATATACTTTTTGAATTGTATTGCATTAAGGCATAGAATATCCCAGAACCTTTTCAGCATCCTTATGTGCAGAACCCAGAAACCCAGGAGTTATATAGGGAGGTGACCTTTAATTCAAGAGTGAATGGTTGATGAATAAGGTTTTGAAACAATGTCAGACATGTTTTCTAACAGTCCCATGAAATTGAACAACAGTCACCCATCATGCATTCTCTTCTCTGCATAAAAGCTTAAATTTTTTAAACAAACTTATTTCTGGCAAAGACTGGTTAAGAGTTTTATCTTCTTTTTCCAACTTCCTTTTTCATAAAACTTTTTAAGTTCTTAGTTTTCTCTTGAATCATATTTTTTTCAAGAGTCCTATTCTTTCTGTGTATCTTATTCCACATTTAAAATGACTTTTCAAGACTTCTTTAATTTAATGTGTCATTTCTGCATTCTCTAGAGTTCTCACTCAAAAAACAATCTACCAGCCACTTGTCAACTGAGTAGCAATACATTTATAAGTACCAGCTACTATCAAACTTCATATCCCATTCAAACTTCCACTTTCCAATAGAGGATAATCACACTTTTAGGTAGCTTTCTTCCTCATGTTGTCAGTGACTCTAGTAGTGGGCTTTTGTTCAGGGCCATTTTTCAAAAAAATCAAACTTTCCTCCCAGCCAAAGTTATTGTGGATTTCAAAATGAGAACAGAATATAGCATACATTACTCAAAATCCTGTCTCAAAAATATTACAGATTGTTACATGGCATGAGCCTATGGAGTGACAGCCATGAATGCCAAGGGTCTGTTATACATTTACTTAATGAATGGTGGTTTACTTTAAGGGGCAATACTGTTGAACCTAAAAACAGGATCATCTTGATTTTCAGCTTTAAAAGCATTTAATTTCAAGCTAATAGGATGTAACTAATCTTTTTAACATAAAACACTTTTTATAATCAATGACAGTTATCAGATTACTTAAGCAACAGTTCACCTGTTGTTCACTCTTATGAAGCTTGGTTTCAAAAACAGTTTATTTTTATTAATAAAAAATCTCCCCCATTATAAACCTTCTCTTTGCTGTTTTCAAATTTTTATTGATGCATATAATTATACATAACAATGGAATTTGTTTTTGCATATTTGTACATGCACATATTAACAATATAATTTGGTCAAGATCATTTTGCAGTGTTTTCCCTTTCCCTGTCTTCCTCCCCACCACCTCCCAATCTCTTTACTGGTCTCCCTTCACCATCCCCCCATACCTTTATTTTCCATTATCCTCTCTGGCTTCTATATGAGAGAAAAAATATGATCCTTGACTCCCTTAGACTGGCTTACTTTGCTCAACATAATCAACTATAAATGACATAGTTTCATTCTTTATGGCTGAATAAAACTCAATGGTGTATATATATATCACATGTTCTTTATTCATTCATCCACTGATGGACATTTAGGCTAGTTCCATAGTTTGGCTATTGTGAACTGTGCTACATGGATATGCAAAAATTTCTTTAGAATGCTCTGATTTTTATTCTTTAGAATAAATACCTAAAGAATTTGTGCAGTGCTAGGCATCAAACCCAGGGACTGGAACATGCTAGGCAAATACTCTACCACAAAGCTATACTCCCAACAACAACAACAAAAATGGTCCATTTAAAAACACCTGGTTTAATAAAAATAACAATCTACAAAATTTTAATCAATTTAATGACCTACAATGGGACTATCTACGCTAGTTCTTGTAGTAGGTGACACAAAATCACAGCTTTGTCACAGAATTGAGGTAAGGATGTTGTCCAAGAACATCCTTAATTTCACAATAGTATTATTTTTTTTTAATAAAATAATATATGCATGATACAAAAGGGTGTGCTATTAAAAAAAATGATTTTATATTACTTCTGTTCATTTTAAGGGAAACTACTGCCTAAATACTAATTCTGGTTGACCACATGTGGACTCTACTTGAATCTGAATTTTTAAAACACTGGTATTTTAAAATTCAATAGTATTTTCAAATAACCTGAGGAAACTAAACAGAGGAACAATTAGAAAATTATTAAAGAATTATAAATGATTTGGTTGGGAGAGATAACAATATTATGGGATTAAACAAAAATATATCATATTAAACAAAAATTATATTAAAACAAAAATGTTGGACTTGAGGTACAGCTCAGAGGTAAAGTGTTTACCTAACAAGTACAAGACCCAAGGTTCAATCCCTAGCAATGAAAAGAAAAGTCTTCATCTGCTAAAAACGTCTTAAATCTACTAGAAGTACATACAGAAATATTTATAGATGAGATACATCATTTTTAAAAATACATAAAAAATACATGCCTAGCATGTGAAAGGCTCTGGGTTCCATCCTCAGCACTGAAAAAACCAAATCAAACCAAAAAATACAACACGGCTAGGAGTATAGCTTAGTGGTAGAACAAGTGGTGTGAGGCCTTGGGTTCGATCCCTAGTAACAAAAATAAAAAACAAAAAAATAAAGGTAAATATGAAAAAAAGGAGGGAGGGGGCAAAGGAAATGGATGACACGAATAACAAGAAATTAATGGCTCTTGAAACCGTAATAATGGTACCCAAGGGCTCATGATGTTATGTTTCCTTTATTATAAAAGTATATGGAAATTTCCAGAATAAAGAATATCAAAAGTTTAATAACCCCTGCTCTTAACATGCTTACCATATCCACAATATTCTCAGTCACAGAGATAAGAATAACACAGGAAAAGAGTCATCTAATTTGAATTAATTCTTTAGGCAAAAAGTTTTAAAAGTTTTATAGAACTGTTAAAAGAAAAGTAAGTTATAAAACAACTGGAATATTGAATCTGAAAAATTTAAGCAGAAAATATATGAACAGTAGTATACATTTATTCTTCAGCTTGAGAACCAAATATCTGTGAGGCCATCATACACCATCTTTCTGTGGCAGTTTTTAAGTAGAGTTGCTGTATTAAATTACTGGACATTCTCAATACTTGAATATGGAACATGCACATAGGGAAAGGAAATAACATGACACTTTGTAAGCTCTGTATTATAAATGGGAAATGCAATGTCTTAAATAAAACTGTACTTCACATTGGGGAAAAAACTGAGGCTTGCTGAAATAATTTAGTAGCACATACCTTCCATAATATGATAATATTCAAATCCACCTCACTGCATTTCTGAATCAATCTCACAGCATCCTCTATGGAATGTTTTTCTGTATGGAGAGACAACTGAGCTTGGGGTTTTTTCAATTCAGAAGATAAACTTCGATAAAAGAAATCTGCACATGGACTTGCTGAACTTATTATCTGTTAAAAGAAAATCATATCTGTATGTAAATTCTTTTAATTAAATGTCTTGTCAGAACTTATTCTATATCATTCATTTAAAGATACCCTGCCAAAATTTACAATTTTATAATTTACATATACCCAAAAGGCTTATTCAGTAACTTCCTATCAATTTGGTTCAATACAGGATGGTTATTGGATCACTTAAAAGATATGGTACAAATTACTCAACATCTTAAAAGATGTCACTCCAAAATAATCAATCTATACTCTCAGGGACTTCCAAATATCTAGGGAGGATGAATAAAACAATAAAATGTTGAAAATAAATATTTTACTGTTAAAATAGCAAAGTGTTTCTCATTCGAATACATAGAACATAAGACAATATCCAGTGAAACAGAATACAAACAGTTGTTGGCATTAACTTGGCTTTTACACTTGACATGAAAGAACATGAGAAAAGAATTTTAAATGAACTCAGAACTATAGTACTTCCCTTAATAGAATACTATGCTTCACAGTAAAATCTCTGCACTTATGGTTTCATGAATTACAGGCTATGTATATATCATGTAGACTTAAGCTATAAGATAGAAAATAAATATTTGACTGATTAGAATAAATAAATAAATATTAATAAATAAATATATTTTTCCCTTATGAGTGAAACTTTCTGATAAAACACTGTCCCACAGTTTTCTCCTAAATCTGTAGTACTTGGTAAGTTTTACTTATTCAACCAGATGTGTCAAAAGGGGAAATGTTATCACATAAAACTTTCCTATGTTCATATATGAATACACAACCAGTGTAACTCCACATCGTGTACGACCACAAAAATGGGAAGTTATACTCCCTGTATGTATGTCAAAATACATTCTACTGTCATGTATATCTAAACAAACAATTTTTTTTTTTTTTTTAGTTGTAGTTGGACCCAATACCTTTATTTCATTCATTTATTTTTATGCGGTGCTAAGGATCGAACTCAGGGCCCTGAGCATGCTAGGTGAGCACTCTACCACTGAGCCACAATCCCAGCCCCTAAACAAACAAATTTTTTAAAAAGAAAAAAAGGGAGATGTCTTTGTTTCCGCCTTCTACAGTAGTCTTATACAAAGTTATTTAACTATAAATACAATAAACAATTACAACCTTAATATAATTTAAGAGCCATACTGATGTTTCTAGAGATTTTTCTTTAAATATTTTTTTTAGTTGTAGTTGGACACAATACCTTTACTTTATTTATTCATTTTTATGTAGTACTGAGGATCGAACCGGGCATCCGGCACACACCAGGTGTGCACTCTACCGCTCAGCCCCAGCCCCAGCCCTGGAATTTTTAGATTTTTTAAAGAAATGAACAAAACAAACAACTGAAGACCCCAAAACTAAACTCAACCATTCAAAGCATATTATCTCCATTGGGCTTTTATAGCCATGAAATATTTCCAGCTGCTTCCTTAAATTGTCAAAGATTGTCACAGAGGTGTATCAAATGAAAACCAAGGATAAGAAGTACAAAATTATAAAGTTATTTGGAATTATCAAAGAGAACACAAAGAAAAAAATCATCCCATTAATAATATACAATTACACAAAATTGTATAATGTGTGTCCAGTGTTTTTCAAAGTAGGTCCCCAAATAATCTGTTCACATTATCTGCAGGGTTGGTTAAAAATGGAAATTCCCAACCACTACTCAAGATGCAATGAACCATAGCTTTAGAGGTGAGGAGGCAAAGCCTATACTTTAACAAAATCATCTAGAATCTTGACATTCAAAACTAGGGTCTATAAACTAATAACCTCAACATTACCTAGTATAACTATTTAGAACCTTAGGTTCTTACCCCCATTCTACTGAATCAGAATCTGCATCTAACAAGATCTACACTGAACATTTTTTGAAAGCTTAAAAACTACAGCTCAAGATGATTCTTTTATATATATAGATAGATAGATAGATAGATAGATAATAATATTCAATACTTTTTAAATATTTTTTAATATTTTTGTTTATTTCTTTTTTTATGTGGTACTGAGGATCAAACCCAAGGCCTCACACATGAGGGGCAAGCACTCTACCACTGAGCTACAACTCCAGACCCTGAAGATGATTCTTATACACAATTATAATGGAGTATTATTGCCCTCAACAGTAATACCTTTAAAATTACAAGATAGCCTTAATGTGTCTAGCTTATTATTTGAATATCAGAACCATAAAATGATATGCCAATATCCTGGGGTTAATATCTATATATTGTACTGGAACCATTTCTCCTAACAAAGAAGTTCCCTTATATAATTCGGCTTTTTTTAAATTCCAAGAATTATGTTTACCTCATATAAAATTTTCAAAAGAGAAATAATTCTAAATAACTAAAATGGTATGGTTTATATTATAGTTTTGGTTTGTTTAGGGACTGAGCACAGGTTGTAAAACTCAACAGTTGAAATGTTCACCTTCCACAGAGTGTGGGGACTACTAAAGCAACAGTTTTGCTAAAATAGTCAAATATCCCAGAATTTTTTTAATTTTTAAATCAAATACCATTGTGTTCATATGCATACCTGTTCATTTCCAAAGATGATATCTGCAAAGGTATACCTTTCTGAGGACTGCATAGCAGCTAAAAAAGAGGGGGAAACAAACTAATCATATCATTGCCACAAAATATAAAATGAACATTTAAGAAAGTATAAAAGTAAAATGCATTTACCTTCTTTTTCCTTACATCTTACTGCCTTGAAGCAAAACTTTCCCTTCTCCCTACTGGCAAGTTTGGCCTCTAGGAAGAAAAGGGAAAAGTTTACTATATTCCTCAGATTATGACAAGGTAAAATCTAATTAATTATTCAGACTTTTTTAGTCAAACAATTTGTAATTATAATTAATACTTTAGAAACATTTTTGTTTTCGTTTCAATGAAGTCACTCTTCATTAACTTCTTAGGATAAAATTCAGTTTTCTCAAAATACATGTATGTGAGAGATGTTCCAAATAAACAAGTTTAAAAGATCATAACTGGAAGGTGGCAATCCCACTCTATTATTTCTTCATTTCCTTTCAGTATTTTCTCATATATATGACACTAATCTAATGCACATACTTTGCTATGTGGGTGTGTTTTCCCACTATTGCAGACACTTTTAAAATGCCAATGAGTACATTTTAATGACCAAAGTTAGAAATGTAGCATAATTTGCATTGAAGCCACAAAAAAATTTTCCCCATTAAACATAATAATATAATAAACTACTCTGAACACATGAATTTTTCCAGATTTTAAATTAATTCTTTTATATAAAGATTATAAGGATTATATGAGAATTAATGTGAGGCTAAGGATATGAACATTTTTATGTCTTTTGAAATACATCATTCAGTTCTTTTCCAGTAAAAGTCAATATCATTTTCAGCTTCATATCAATCTTACAACCATAAGACACTCTTATATTATTCATAAGATGACAAGTTCATAGGAATATTCTGGGCAACTGTCAATGCATATGACACAGTATGCATATTCTTTTGTTTGAATGTTACAGATATGAAAATACACAAAAAGTAGTAGAAATATAGGTATAGCTATTCACCAGTCTATCATCAATGAAGAAAACAGAAATATCCATATTCTAGTACATACATTACTAAACTCTTAAATTTTTCATAGTGATTACATACTCAGGTACTGATTTTACAAATGGGGGAAAAATGGAACAGAAAGAAAAATAAAAGTAGAAAAATGTGGAAAGAAATAAAAAGATGGAAAAGACTGGATCAAAACGGGTAATTTGGTTTACAATCACATCAATGAAGGAAAGCACAATTTAATGCTTAAAAAAGATAATTTTAAGGATGGCACCAATAACCTTATGATATTATGGTACTACTTTGAAAAATCAAGCAATGTTGTCAGAATTTATTTTGAAGAGGGATAAAGGCACAAACCTTTATTTTCAGCGAGATTTACAGAGTTCTGTAACTTCCAGAGCTTGCTACTGCTTGATACTTGTACTATGTGGAATTCCTTAACACCTGCTTCACTCTATGAAAAAGAGAAGGAGCACTAAATTAAACTATTCCAATAAGAACAAAATTCAGACGTTACCCAAGTCCATACCAATTAACACCAGATGAGATTTTTTTAATCTTAAAGTAATTGTGCACATTTCAGAAAGTTGAAGTTATTTAAATTCTTTTCTTAAACAGAAAAATAAACATTTTATCTGAGTATTTTTAACTAGAATGCACATCCAGTGGTAAATTTAAAAATACTGAAAGGCACTGCATTATTAAAATCTAGCACAATAAGTGTACTGACAATATTTAATAGGTCAAAAATTATTTGTTGTCAATTTTTAATTAAAACATGGACTTTTTATTTCTTTTAATATTTCTGAGATCTCATTCAATTAAGGCAAGGAAAAAAATAAGCAACAAAAACAAAATACAGCCTTAATACGTAGCCTATGTGTACATGAAGCAATTTAAACAGTACATAATTTTTTTATTCTCCTAAATAAGAGCTATTTTAATATTTGAAATGATTAAAACTTTTTAATTTTTTTTTGTAGTTAAATATAGACAGCATGCCTTTATTTTATTTGTTTTCATTTTTTTCATGTGCTGCTAAGGATCGAACCCAGTGCCCTTCACATGCGAGGCAAGCACTCTGTCACTGAGCTAGAGCCCCAGCCCCTAAAAACTTTCTTGTTCAACTAATAAACATACTAATATTTTTGAAGATCAAAGTACTAGCATATTAACATTAAATATTCTAAAAAAAAGCGACCTTGCAAATTTATGAATGCTAAAAGCAAGAGAATACTAACAATTCAAGTAGTATCTGTACTACCGAATTAATCTGAGTCTAAAGTTGTATGAGATCACATTTCCTTCTTCAAGAACATTCATTCAGTTATTTAGAGTGCATAAAAATGGTGAAACTTTGGAAATGCCTTATATTAAAGGAACAGTACTATTAGAAATATATAACTAAAGGATTACTAAGTTAATAATGTGTATGAAATCTTATAGAATTTCATTAATTTAATTATGTCAATGGAATATACCTCAATGATGAGACTAGAAAGCACTTTAAGAGATTTCTTTTAGATTACATCACTAGCATAAGGGTCTATATATCATGTAAATATGTATTATATTAATATCAGCAGACCCTTTCATTTGAAGAGACTCTAAGGGATAAGATTATAGAGTTAATAGATAATTAAGATGTTTTCCCAATATTCTATATGAACATTCCCAAATTCCTAGCTTATATTGTCCTGTGAAGTAAAAAAAGAACTTATACTTTAAAAAGGGCAAACAACTCAAATGTTTTGTTACAAACAAAATTCAGCTCTAAACTAACTTACAGTATTGGTATTTTCCACATCCACAAAAACTAGCATATTCCCTCCTCTGCCTTCTTCATCTTCTAGAGAATTACTTCTGCAGACAGTAGCTCGCACGTTCAAAGATCGGCTGGTACAAATAACTGCAGTGTGCCTTAAGATTCTGTGTCTGAAGAAGTAAATACATGCAAATTAATTAAAAATTAAAAATCATTCTCTAATTACAAATAAAGATTTTAAAACTTGATAATTCAGGACCATTCATATTTGAGAAAAACAAAGACGATACAATAAATTAAAATTACTAGTTAGCCCATCTTTAGTTTAATTCTACTCAATTTGGAAGGAAATTATTAACCTCCCTGACTCTAGGCTTATTAACTTGCTTCATATAGTAATATCTCAATTATGCCTCTTCTCTGATAGTGTTTCCAATGTTACTGTACAACTACTGAGCTCTTCACCATACAGTTTTACATTTCAAAGACTGTTCCCTTTACTTCTTTCACACTAAATTCAGACTGTGGCTGAACAAACTATATTCAATTTATATTTTCTAAGTTACAAATCTTTTTTTCATAGATATGGTCACTCCCTGGAACATCCCACTACTCTCTTGCCTACCCCCTTGATATGCAAATCCTGACATCTTTACTGTCCTTGGAAGCTCTTTTCACCACTACCACATTCCAGAAAGCCTTCCTTGATTGCCTTGCCCAGAATACTCCCCTTCTATTATCTTGTGGAAAATTACCATTTACTGAGGACTTAAAATGTACCCATACTTATAAATACCTCATTTTTACCCTCAAAGTTTTACAAGATATTTAGACATTCCATTGAATAAAATAAATGTAGCATAATTATTCCTAGTTAATTTTGTAAAAATGAGAAGGGAATTATCACATATAAAATGTTCTGCTGTGCAATATACAGGCGACAGGTTCTGGTAAGTCAGTTAGGTATGATTTCTTCAGTGATTACCCACTTTAATTCCACTCTAATCATCTGTTCTGAATACACCATAATGACATTTTGTTCATACATTGGAGGGAGGCACTAAGGAAAACAAAGTAATTTTCTTAAAAACAAATGACTGTAGTTAGGTTGCTTCATATACAAATGACATGATATTTTAATACATTGTTATTTGTTAGTTTCATTATTGTGACAACTTAGTCACACTTAGAAGAATCATGCAGTTTATGGACAAAAGATCAATGTAATTAGTTTCTACTTTTGGTTATCTAGAATTAAGATATATTTGGGATGACTTCATATAAAAATATGCATTTTTGAAGAGAATATTTCTCAATAAAAAATACATATTAAACAAATATCAAACACTGATTCAAATATGTATACCTATATTAAACATAGTGGTAAAATTTTTAAAATTTTATCATACTTACCGTATTTTAGGCTGCTTTTTAACACTTTCATAGTAAAACAAAAAGTTAATTTCATGGACACCTTCTTCATCTGGCCCACGTAACCACATTGGTAGCTGGACTGAAGCTCCAGGCAGAAGAACAGTGTCAGGAAGGGGAACAGGAATCACTTCTGGCTGACTCCCTATGCCAATTCCAAAGTCTACAGAAGAAGCTGATGATATGAGTGCTGTACACACAGAGGTAGAGTCTGTCACAACAGTCTTGTAAGCACTACAATTTTCAGAAGCTGAAGGGCTCAGTGGTGTTAAAACAGCAGTATTACCACCAAAAGTAAAGAACTCTGGACGTTTAGAAACAACCTTCAATGCAGTAAGAGGACATTTGCTGACATTGACAAATTCTACATATGCTTTTCGAATTTCTCCACAGAGAAGTCCTGTAGGAAAATGTATAAAGAACACCTGCATTGGAGGGAAAAAACATTATTATATTGTCTGTTAAAAATTTTGAACTTCTAATGAGTAATGTTTTTAAGATGCTGTATGTCTTTACTAAAGGTTTACAACTATTTCATTAATTCTCTGATAGCTGTTTAAAAATAAACAGCTCCATTTTAGAAAACACAGGAAGACAAAGAGACCAATATTACTCAGCCACGATTTTGAGCTATTAAAGGTAAAATACAAAACAAAGCTATAAAAATTCTACAACTTTGTAGCTTATGAACAAGAAAAACTATAAATAATTTAACATGACTATAAAATAACAATCATTCTTATAATCCTTATCACTGTCAGATTAAAAAGCTTAAATATACATCCTTAAAATAAAACCATATACCATGGATCTTAATGAAGAGCATCTGATAACATATACATAATTATAAAACCCACAGTACTCCAAACAACCTCAGGCTTTTAATTAATAACTGACATGGGGCCAAAACGTGGCATCACTAATAACGTTTTTTTTATCTGCTGCTAAAAACTAGATATATACTGTTCTTAGATTACATGACAATTATCATTAGGTTCTCACTTGGAAGAAACCAAAACTGAAAACTTAAGGTAACAACTTCTGAATGCAGTTTAATACATGAAAGACCGAATCAAACTTAGATTGGAAAATCCATCCCAGTACTCCCAGAAAAGGTCACTCATCCTAATTCCACACCTCCAAAAATGGTATATAAATGTATGTTTTAAATTTAAGGAACAATGTGTAGAAAGTGGATCTACTGAAAGATCTGCATTTTTAATACCATTTTTGTAACCATTTTTTTAAACTATCATATGCAAGATTAAATAAAGAACAAGTGTTGTCAAAAACAAGATGAATGTAAATTAAGAAAGTTGTGTACTGAGGACTAAACCCAGAGGTACCTATCACTGAGCTATACCTCAGCCCTCTACTTGTTTATTAAGACAGGGTCTTACAAAGTTGCTGAAGGTCTTACTAAATTGATTCTGGCCTTGAAATTGATGAGGATGGCCTCCTTCCTCAGCCTCTGGAGTCATGTGGGGATTACAGGCATATGCCACAGTGCCAGGCTCAACAGAGGTTAAAATCATTTCATCTGGTTCAACTTTCATCATTTTATAATTAAAGAAACTTTCAAGGACAGATAATTAGGGACAAAACTAAGTCTAAAAGTAAACCCAGGCATGGTGGTGTGCACCTGTAGTCTCAGCTACTCAAGAGCTTATGGTGAAAGGATTGCTTAAACCCAAGAATTTGAAACCAGCCTGGGCGACACAGTAAGGCCACATATTAAAAAAAGTAAAGCTCTATCCATGCCAATGCTATCAGAGAAGCACTGCTTTTAAAAACTACTTGTACATTAACAGTCTTAATAACTGAAGAACATTTAAGTGATCTAGCTTAATGAAAATTACAAACTAGAAGACTCACTTAAAAAGGAATAATTTATTTTGACAACTTCAACTACACTGATCAGAATATTCTCTTCCAAAAGTAAAGATCTCAAAAATTCTTACCTATACAATCCCAAACAAATGTTTACAACTATAATGGTGAATAGCCCTAAAGCAGCATTTAAATTCTAAGTCATTTAAATTATTCTTCAGTCTCTTAACTTCTAGTTATAGCCATGCAATACTAATCAAAATTATTACTGTGGAAACTTAACAAGCTTGGACAAAATGCATGAAAAAAAATTAAAGATTATGAAATAAATTTGTCTTGTCAGATTAAAAAAAATTATTAAACAGTATAGTACTGACACAGAAAGAAATGAGGTAATAATTACTAAACAGAATAGGAGGCATACAAAAACAATCCAACAGGAAAGGGTACTTTAGGGATATTGGTAAATAAAAAGATAACACAATGGGTTGCCCATACCCTATTAATGGTATTGGGACTAGAAACAAAGTTTGATCTCTGTCCCCTTGCTATCCAGAATACATTCTTGCCAGGTATGGTGGTCCATACCCGTAATCTCAGTGGCTCAGGAGGCTGAGACAGGAGAAACGTGAATTCAAAGCCAGCCTCAGCAAAAACAAGGCACTAAGCAACTCAGTGAGACCTTGTCTCTAAATAAAATACAAAGTAGGGCTGGGGATGTGGCACTGTACTCGAGTGCCCCTGAGTTCAACTCTGGTACAAAAAAAAAAAAAAGAAGAAGAAGAAGAAAAGAAATACACTCTCCAGATTTAAAACTCGCAGATATTAAAAATAAATAAATAAAACTGGGGATGGGGATATAACTCAATGATAGAGCACTTGCCTATCATAAAAGAGGCCCTGGGTTTGACCCCCCAGCAGGGTGAAAAAAAAAATAAATTAATCTGTAATTTGACTAAGGAAGCCTATTGTTAAATATAAAGCTTATATCCAACAAAGTAAAAAACTATCCAATATGATTTCATGTAAGTTAAAAACCTCAACATGGTCAAAGACAGCAGATCAAAGATTAAACATGTACAAAATATTTTTCAACCAGAAAATGATGCTCTACTCCATATGCCTTTTATTTACATTTAAATGCAACATAATTGAGTAAGTGTCAAATCTGGGTAGAATACATACACTGCATATATGCACACATGTACACACACAAACACACACATCACTCATCACCATTTTCATGTGTAGTATGACTCTACTTATAATTATTAAAACTATAATTAAGTGCACAAGAAAGGCATAAAAAGATAAAAAAAACACCTCCACTAGGGAAACCTGAAGATGCAGGAAGAAGGGTCTCCTTCCAGTGTTCACATTTATACACTTCTATGACACAACCCTACTTTTGATCTGCACTCAGGTAAGAAATTTGATCCAAGGTGGGCTGTTTTTCTCTTCCAGAAACTTGAAATATTAAAATGGCATAAAGACTAGAAGTTGATGAACTACAGTCATATCAAAAGCAATTCTCTGCCAGGTGTGGTAGCACACACCTGTAATCCCAGTGACTTGGGAGGCTGAGGCAGAAGGATCTCAAGTTCAAGGTCAGCCTCAGCACTTGTGAGGCCCTAAGCAACTTAGCAAGGCTTGTCTCAAAATAAAAACTTAAAAGGGGCTAGGGAATGTCCAAGTGATTAAGTGCCCCTGGGTTCAATCCCCATTACACTCCACCACCAAAAGCAAATCCTTCTAGATGCTTAAAATGTTTGCTCCTAAATTCTCTGGAGCAGTTGAATCCCCCTTCTTTGAGACTTCCTGTCCCATAATACTTTAATTTCCCTGATATTAAAATGTCTTTCAACTAAATAATATGTTTTTCCTTCTCTTGTTACTCTGACATATTTTGTAACTAAAATTCCTTTGATACTATATGAAAATAAGATAGGGTGAGATAAGAGGGTGAAGGAAATACTGCTTTTTTTCCCAAAATACTTCTATTTTGCTTAAATACTTTACAAGCATTAATTCACATAATATTTTGACAAATTACAAAAAAGCCAATGAGTTTAATAACCAAAATGTTTGCTAGAAATGTATTCCCAATTTCTATTATTTTAAAGTTTATAAATTTATAACATGGCTGTGACTTAATATGAATTTATATAATTACCTTATTTTGTAAATTAAATTTCTTTAAAATTTGCCTAACAAGACTTTAAAAGTATAGTTCAATGTAATATTAACAACTTCAAAGTCTAAAATTAATTTATTTAAAGTATCTTCCAGCTATGTCAATTACTGAGTCCATTACATTTTAAGAAGTGAAATACCTCCAATAGTGGCATTTCTTCAGTGATTATAGGGTCTAAACGTCGATCAGGACCATATTTAATAGATGTTTTTTCTTCTTTTGTGTTGTTAAGTCGAGGACCTTGAATTTCTAAATCCTGTCTCCCTCGGACTGACATACTCAAGGAATGTTTTCCTGAAATAAAAAACAACCAAATGCCCTAAAATAATCTGATATGTTAACTGACAAGAATTTAACTTGAATATATGAATACTTAAATTTCAGATAATTCAATTACTGATTAACATGATTAATCAAAGAATTAAGTATATTTTAATTCCATGTTTTATACCACCTATATTATGCTGCTTAATTTCTCATTTCTTTTGGATTTACTTATGTTGCATAAAGACTACAAATCACTGAAGAGAAGTCCTTTAAAACCTGTATTTTCTAAAGCATAATGCTTATTAATCAAAAAAATTCTGAGAATACCTTGGGTCCAATAGTTAATTGGCCTATCACAAGATAGATATTCAAATGAAAAAAAATTGAAAACACAGAACAGGTCAATTTTTCACTTCCTCATATTTGAATATATAGTAACCTGAATAATTTCAGGACTATAAATAAACATATCTTCCCAAGAGACTGAACAAAGAAAATTAAATATAGCATAAGCATAGACAGCTTTAACTTTCTTAATAATTCATGTGAGATTTTCCCCAAAGACTTCCATACAGTACATGTATGTATTTAACAAAAAAACAAGAAAAGAAAAGAAAAGGGGTACACAACTCTCTTTCCTGCAGGACTACTCAAAGCCTTTAATGTGCTGAAAGTTACTCTAAAGGGTTCAAGGCCAGATGTATAATGTAGCATTTCCCACACTACATTTGACTTGGTTCCCTACTAGCATTTTACATAATACTAAACTACACTAAAACATCATGAAGCTGGGCGCAGTGGCATATGTCTGAAATCCCAGCAGCTTGAGAGGATGAGACAGAAGAATCGTGAGCCTCAGCAACTGCAAAGCGCTAAGCAACTCAGTGAGACCCTGTCTCTAAATAAAATATAAAATAAGTCTGGGGATGTGGCTCAGTGGTCCAGTACCCCTGAGTTTAATCCCCAGTACCAAAAAAAAAAAAAAAAACACATCATGAAAACTCAGTTTTTAAGATAGGACTTATTTTAATAGTTAATTCATAATTTCCTCCTACTAATGCCATACAATTACATATAAATTATATTAATGCCTATGTTTGGCCTTTAAATGAAACAATTAGCTATATTTTACTGACAACCATAACTCTGTGGTACTGGGTCAAGATGTCAGATTGCACAAGTGGGAAAAGAGCTTCAAAAAGTTCTTGCTGGGCAGAGTGGTGCATGCCTATAATTCCAGCAGCTTGGGAGGGTGAGGCAGGAGGATCGAGAGTTCAGAGCCAGCCTTAGCAATGGTGAGGTGCTAAGTAACTCAGTGAGATCCTCTCTCTAAACAAAACATAAAAAAGGGCTGGAGATGTGGCTCAGTGGTTGAGTGCCCCCGAATTCAATCCCTGGGAAGTCGCCCACCCCCGCCGCCAAAAAAGTTTTAACACCCACTTATCTTGCTTTAAGAATGTAATAAAACAGCAAAATTATTTACAACAATTTGGTACTTGTCAAACAAGAAATATAAATATAAATATAGTATAAAAATGCTCAATTTTAGTGTATTTTTTTTTTGTTTATAGCTTTTTAGTCATGAGTTCATTCCACTTATTTTCTAATTTTGTATTGAATTTATCATACATATTAAGGCAACAGAAATATTCAACAGGAGGTTAAAAGGATCAAGTTTTCCAAATGTTCCAGAAGAACTTCCCAATATTTATATTTAAGTGACTCTTATTATGTTTTCATAATATCTTAAATAGGGCAATACTTAAATTCTGTAATGTTGCAGAAATAAAAACTTTTATAAGTGCTAAATTCACATCTATCAATAACTAGTCACTTTAATTTGTTATAAGATAGATCCACTCAAATAAAGGGCTGGGATAGAGAGTTTTATAGTGAACTCCCTTCCTAGCATCTTTTCAACCTAAACTCATGTAATCACATATCTGAATTATCAGGTAATATTAGATCCTGAAAGACTCCTGAATTTTTAAAAAAAGATAATAAAGTTTGTATATATTATAATATTCAAAAAATTGTAAAACATTCTATTATAGGGCATCAAAAATATCAATTTAACACTAAAACCCCAGTCTTTATCAGGACAGAAAACAGAATTTCAAGGGTTTAATATTCAATGAAGTGAAAAAAAAAAGGTTTTTAATTTGTTCAATGCTTTTTAAAAGGATATATTCAAAAATGGAATACAATAAAGTGGTTTTTGTATTGGCAGCAGACATCTTAATAAATGGTTAGAATTTATTTGCTAAGAATTTACTACATTTGGATAATAACAAAAGAATTATCAAAAGAAAATAGAAGGGAAAAAAATTGTTTATTTTTTAAAGCTATGGTAGAGGTTAAAATAAATTAGTCATTCTTACATCTGCCTAAATGCTTTATCTAAAGGTACATTTGCCCTATTTAGAAAATACCTCATTTTCGTCCATTTTATTCTATGGAATGATTTAGGTATTAGTTTCTAATTGTTTAGCAATGCTATAACTTTACCTGTATGACATCCAGGAAGAGCACCAATGCCATCTACTGTCATGGAGCCCTGAATAGTGCCAAGATTATAAACAACTCCCAAAATATGCAGCTCCCCTATGTGATGGGGAAAGAGCTTTAGTCTTGCCTGTGGAGATATTTAAGTCACTCTTATTATGTTTTCATAATATCTTAAATAGTGCAATACCTAAATTCTGTAATGTTGCAGAAATAAAAACTCATGACCTAAACTTTTCAAATATCAATTATTTCTTATTGAAAAGCAACTTTTTCAAAAGAAAATCTCTAAGTTCAACAATTATACAAGAGCGTCAATAATACTTTTAATAAAAATCTAAATATGCTGTTCAAATAAATATCATGTGAAATTACCACACTGAAACTAATAAGGAAGTGAAAACTTTTCACCAGGTTTCCTAGGAAATTAATCAAAAACCACTAGAAACCTACTTTCCCACCAATTTCTTCCTGAGTAATTTCAGTTTCCTGATCATCTAAATTTTAGTTCTTAAAAATACTAGGATATAAAACAATTTCATTGAGATACATTAAATTTATTTTAAAATGTTTTCAGTTTACTTATTTAGCAAAGCAAAAAACAGAAAAATGATAAAAACAATTACCACTTTAGATTCTTCACTATTAATTAAGAATTCTGAAATAACTTCAGTTCCAATCATTTCAGGTTCACCTGTAATCTAAAAAATAAGTTATTTTTTTAAATATACATTCTAATAAAATATTATTAATACTTAATATTAATGAATTATTAACATTCTTATATACCAATACTAAGAAATAATAACTAATTAAAGTTATAATTACTAGACTCTTTGTAAGTGCGTGTAGTGCTGGGGATCAAACCCAGGTCCTCACACCTTCTAGGCAAGTGCTTTACACTGTGCCACCATTTCCAGGTACTTACTATTTCCTAAGCTCCATGAAAAGTGTTTATTTCCACCCCTAAAGTGGGGTCATGCTGTAGTGGGTACTTGATATGTACATTTCATTTTGTTCTACCAACTCAATTGAAGAAGATACAACCACCAAGAGGATAAAACACTAAGAGAAAAAGTTGAACTGCTCATAGTCAATAATGGCCGCAATGGTATTTAATATTGTCATAAGAACAAATCTCTCCATTTTTTGTCCAACCACATCTTTTTCCAAATTGGCCAATTATATTTAGAAAAGGAAGATTATACTTAGAATAGGCATGATGCAGAAAAGATAGGTGGACAACAAAAGCAGTGGGAGAAAGGCAGACCTGCTTCCTCCAAACCACTGACATTAGTAAGAGAAAATATCTATGGTCAGATGGCAAAGCAGAGCTAATTAGCTCACACTGAAGGTAAATTTGATTCTCATAAACCTTATTTTACTTTTACCATCAAACTAATTATTTGACACAAAATATAAAAATTACATCTCCCTAAATTCCAGTTCAGCATCTGCATCCATCACCAGAAGAAGCCCATTAAATAAATCTAGATTTTGGGATTTGTGGACCTTAGCTCTATGGCAAAACACATACTTAGCATATGGAAAGTCCTGAGTTCAATCACTAGCAAACTACCCACCACCCCCACCCCCCAAAAAGAAATCTTATTTGAAATTTACAGGAAAAAGTGCAACTGTTTAAGAGTACTGTATATTTTAATATAACTTAATAAACTTCCTTTAAAATAAGAAATGCTAAACAGATTAATATATTTATAAAACTAATAGATCTTTCTTAAAACCTTTCCAAATTTCAATAGTTCATACTCTCATAATCACAAAATAGCATCAATGAATTTAACTATTTAACCATTTTAAATAATGTAATCTTTAGGAAAAAAATCAAAATAGTTCAAGAACAAAAACAGTCTAAATAATTAAAATTCAAATTAAAAATTCAAATAGATATCTTTCTAGTTCTCCCTTCACAGATCAGAACCAAAATGCTAGGATATTTCCCAGACTCAAAATATAGTCTGGGTTAAAGCATTTATTTTCTGGTGCAAGATTCTAGTGTTCTAGTGTTCCTTTCCTGCCTCAATCATGAAACCACATATATAGTTAGAGGAGCCACGAGATCAAAACCATCAGTAATGCCGAGTCCCTGCATGGAGGCCAGCTCTTCTGAAGTTCCTACACCTGTAAGGTACTTTGTTTGGATAAAAAATAAATGTCTATATGTTGAAAAAATATATACACACACATACATATATGGGAGTTGGGGGGAGTACAAAACAGTGAAAATTTGTATAAAAGATATTAGTGAATAACCTAATAAATTATTAGCTAAAAAAATATATTTGGAAACAGGCCCAGGAGGTGCATGCCTATAAACACAGCTTAAACTAGAGAGGCTAAGGCAGAGGATCCAAAGTCAGCCTCAGATGACTTAGTGAGACTCTGTCTCAAAAGAAAAATACACACACACACACACACACTTGTCTAAGTTATTTGTTACAATCAGCTGGTAACAAAAATCATTTGTTCAAATCATTCCTGCATTAAAAAGGCTCGGAAGGCCGAAACAGGAGGATTCTGAATTCAAAGCCAGCCTCAGAAATTAAAACTCTCAGTAAGACCCTGTCTCTAAATGAAATACAAAATAGGGCTAGGGATGTGACTCAGTAGCCGAGCGTCCCTGAGTCTAATAATTAGTACAATATATACAAAAGGTTTATCATAGACATGAATATAAAAAGATAAATATATATATGAAGCTTATTAAATGGACAATGCACAAAATAGGAAATACAAATACAATAACTGACTTCACTGGAAAGCAATGAAATGGATAATAAATTAGTAAGAAGATATTTTTATCAGATCAACCAAGTTTTTTTTGTAAATAATAATAATCAGTGCTGCAAAAATGAGACATCCATCGCCACATGCTGCAAATGAGAAGCTTGTTGGTATGACCTTTTGCAAAATCGAGAATTAAAATATTTATTTCCTAAAACTCTTATAACTTTGCACCTAGGAATCTTTTTACAGAAATATTCTGAAGGCTAAGAAGTTATGCACAAAAATATTCATCACAGGGGGTAGGGGTGTAGTTCAGTGATAGCTTGCCTAGCATACAAGAGGTCCTGGGTTTAATCCCAGCACCCCATTAAAAAAATAAAAAATAACCACTGAACTATTGTGATAATATACAAACAGAAACCTCCAAAACAACTACAGATAACAGGAGGATACTATGAATCATCCATACACGATGGATGATTCATAGGTACAGCTCTTCCCAGAGCTATTCTGAAGTTAAAATCTATCATTCTCACATGAGACTAAATATAAACAATGAATAGAATTGGTTTGTATATTTGAAATTTACAGTAAATGAATTTTTTCATACCCATATTTAAATTTATAGTATAAATTTTTTCATACACATATTGAATAATTACGTAAAAATAAAATATTCAGATGTTTGAATATCAGAAAATGCATATTAAACAACATAGAATGAAAAAAGCAACACATAAGGAAATTCCAAATCCAAGCCAAAAAGATACAAATGGAAATGACTGAAATGACAGCAAAATGTTAAAAGTTGGTTATGTCTAAATATTAAGAATATACAGTTTTACTTTTATATTTTATGTAGTTCTGTATTCTCAGTTTTCAACACTAGCACATACAAATTTTTAAAACAAAGGAAAAATAAGCAAAAAAAGATTGTGCATAGCTCACAGAACAGAAGAAGCAGAAATATTATTATGGCATCTGTCAGACTATAACTGAAATGTACTTATTACAAATACCTTTTAATAACTTACTAGTTCTTTAACTTCTTCATTATCCTTTCCACTGAAATCTTTAGGCTGAAACTTCCAAAGTAATGACAAATCAGTCAACAAAAGTGGAACCTTCAAAGGGTTTCTAAAAGCCACTTCCACTGTAATTGGTTCTATGAAAGAAAGACCTACATTAATAACTTTGATAAATCTCGCCCCTCACCCTAAGCTTTAAAGTTCTAAACAGACCTTGCTTTCATTTCTGCCTAGACTGTCCTCTAGTTTATAAAGCTCCATTTATTCAGGATTCAGTTTTTAAATTACCTCTTCTAAAAGAGTTTTCCAATTTCTCTCTACTAAAGGATGTCATTTCCTCTTCTATATCCTAGCATCACATTGCATATACCTATATTAGAGCCCTCACTGGTTTTATAAATGCAACTCAGTAAATTACTGGTTTTTAATTTATCTTTGCACCCTCAGCCTCTGGAAATGTATGGCATACAGCAAATTATCTTGAATCCGCTTTAAGTAAAACAAACAAACAAAAAAATGAAATTGAAGCATATCACCTTCCACAACTGCAAGTGGAAATCTGGAGTTATCCGAATAACTGTTCAAACAATATTGTGTGGGATAGAAACTGGATGGAATTATTCCTTTGTTAACCACAGCCACAACTTGCTCTTCAAGTTCTCGCCACTGCTGAGAGGATTCAGAGTCATATTCTTGATCAAGACTTACATGAGTAGCTGCTTGCTTTTCACCTAAAAAAGAAAGAAAGAAAAAAGTCACCATTAAATATGTTCATGAAATGCAAATTAATGAAGTATATGTTTGTGAATGTCCTCAAACAAAAAAACACTTCAAATAAAAATCAAGGGTATCCAAATAAATATGTATGCATTCACTCTTGCCTATTTCTATTTCTCTAAGCAAATAAAATATTCTCTTATTAACTATAACTTAACTGGAACTTTGTTGACAACATTATTTTTCTCTTGACTCTGAAAGTATTTTCCTTGTCTACCATGAACAATTTCTTTATGAAATATTTCAAACAATATAGAAAAGGAATGAAAAATAATGTGGCAAATACTTACATTCTGAAGTGTAACAAATGTCAACTTTTGTCACATTATCCTAATATTTTTTTATAAAATGAACATTGAAGATATAGCTGATGTCCTCTCTGCAATCCCCCCAAATCCAATTACTCTTCCTCACTCCCACTGGCATAACTTCTTCCCAGAGCTATTCTGAAGTTAAAATCTATTATTCTCACATGAGGCTAAATATAAACAATGAATAGAATTGGTTTGCATATTTAAAATTTACAGTAAATGAATTTTTTCACACCCAAATTTATAAATTTTTTCATACACATATTGACATTTATAAATAAACTTTTCATATCCACATTGAAACATATACAATTAGTTCACTCTCGTCCTGAAGCATAAATCCATTATGTAAAAATACCAAAATATATTGATTTGTTCTCTGCTATTAGGAATTTTAGTTTCACTTTTTTGCTATTAAAAACACTAAAGCCAAGCTTCTTCTAAGCAAAAAAAAAAACAATCTGTGAGGTGAATAGAGAGCCTACAGAATGGGACCAAATTTTTACCACTTGCACAACAGACAGAGAACTAGCTTCTAGGGTATATAAAGAACTCAAAAAGCTAAACACACACACACACAAAAAAAAAAACCCAATCAATAAATGGGCCAAGGAACTGAACAGACACTTCTCAGAATATGATATACAATCAATCAATAAATATATGAAAACACGTTCAACATCTCTAGCAATTAGAGAAATGCAAATCAAAATCAAGATTTCAGCTCATTCCAGTCAGAATAGTAGCTATTATAAAGATAAACAACAATAAGTGTTAGCAAGGATGTGGGGGAAAAGACACACACATATATTGATGGTGGGACTGCAAAATGGTGCAGACAATCTGGAAAGCAGTATGGAGATTCCTTGGAAAACTTGGAATGGAATCATCATTTGAACCAGCTATCCCACTCTTTGGTCTATACCCAAAGGACTTAAAAACAGCACACTATAGGGACACAGCCACATGAATGTTTATTGCAATACAATTCACAATAGCTAAACTGTGGAACTAACCTAGATACTCTTTAGTAGATGAATGGATTAAAAAAAAAAAAGTGGTATATATACACAATGGAATATTACTCAGCAATAAAAGAGAATAAAATCATGGCATTTGCAGTTGGAGAATATAATGCTGAGCGAAGTTAGCCAATCCCAAAAACCAAATGCTGAATGTTTTCTCTGATACAAGGAGGCTGATTCATAGTGGGGTTGGGAGGGGGAGCATGGGAGGATTAGATGAACTCTAGATAGAGCAAAGGGGAGGGGTAGAAAAGACGGTGGAATGAGATGGATATCATTACCTTAAGTACACGTATGAAGACATGGATGGTGTGAATATAGTCTGTATACAACCAGAGATATGAAAAATTGTGCTCTATATGTGTAATATGAATTGTAATGCATTCTGCTGTCATATATAACCAATTAAAATAAAAACAATAAAGCCAGGCACAGTAGCACAAACCTATAATCCCAGTGACTTGGGAGGCTGAGGCAGGAGGCTTTCAAGTTCAATGCCAGTCTCAGCAACTTAGTGAGGTTCTAAGCAATTTAGGAAGACCTTGTCTCAAAATTAAAAATAAAAAGGCCTGGGGATGTAGCTCAATAGTAAAGCATTACTAAGATCAATCCCTAGTACCAAAAATAAATAAATAAATAAATTTTAAAAAGTGGCTATAAACACAATAAATATTTTTTAAGAACACTAAATTAGATTTCAAGGAGAAACATTAAGCTCAATATAAAAATATTTAGGATTACAAAGTTTATGTCAATGTACATCAAGAACCTTAATAGTAAGGTTTACTATTACTATTACAAAGTTTATGTCAATGTACATCAAGAACCTTAATAGTAATGTTTTACACTTTTGGTCTAGGAGTGCCACTCCAAGGCTCAATCCTAGGAAATAATATAATCCTATATATTTTTTAAAGTCTTAAGACAAGAACTGTTACATACTTCTGTGTACATTTGAAATTTTTCACAATGAACAGTTAAACAAGTTTTATACAAAGATGCTCATCACAACACAATTTTATATAAGCAAAAAGATGGAAATAATCTATATAACTAGACAATGTTAAAGTACTTTAAATCTTTATATACACTGAATGAAATATCTCACACCAAAAATGCTTACCAAGATTATATAACATAAGTACTTTCCATGTGAGAGAAATTGTTGTAATTATAATTTTTTTAATTGTTTTTAGTTTTTAAAGTTAAAAAATAGCAATGAAGTAGTTGTTATTGTCAGAAGACAGGACAACTGATGAAGTTGTATAAAGTTATTTATTTTAAAATATTCAACTACATAACATTTTTTTAAAAGAAGAAAGGAAACTTTAGAAAAATATCCATTAGGTAACTTAGACCAAATAAAATTTTACTTACCATCTGCTGGTCGTCTGTCATGGCCAAAGAAAACCCGTGTTGCTGAACTGTTAATATATGGTAAAGGAAGTTGTGGTAAAGGACCATCTGGTGATAGTTGACTTACATTCTGGGAGAAATATAAAATAAGGCAAAAAGAATAGTTTTTAATAAAACTATACTTTCTTCACGTTTCATTTTTTAATATGTTAGATATTAAAAACATGTAAGCAAAATATTAAGACATATAATTACTAGTTTTAATGTCAGAGTCATACATTTTTTTTAAATATTTATTTATTTTTTTTTTTAGTTATTGGCAGACACAACATCTTTGTTTGTATGTGGTGCTGAGGATGGAACCCGGGCTGCACGCATGCCAGGCGAGCGCGCTACCACTTGAGCCACATCCCCAGCCCCGAGTCATACATTTTATAACTGAGAATAACTTCAAATATCACTTATTCTGCCTTCAAAGATCTTCCTAAGGTTACTTAGCTAGCTAGTTCCCTCTTGATATTACACTTTCAAATGTTATTTTGGTATGTATTTTACTTCTTATGACTCATTTTAGCATTCTATCTGCCAAAATTCCAATATAAATGATTTCAAATTAATAAAGTCTAACAGAGTAGTCATTTTACATCGGATAAATAAAATAATTATTTAGGGGGGGAAAATAAAAATTCGTATTCTTCCATAAAACAATGCTTTATATTTATATGTTCTATGCTCTTGCCTCAGTGAAATATTTTTTCTTCCTATTAATTTTTCTAGGTTATGCCATAATAGCTTGTTTACTTCTCACAGATCCATACCTCCTCATCTTTCATAAGGAAATGAAAGAAAAGTGTATTTTCAAAGGATTTTAAGAGAATCCACTTTTGTAAAATTGATTGTGCTTCTATAAAAACAGGATGAAGAAACAGTCAAGAAGGCTTGTGGCATCTTTTCTTTTTAAATATTTCAAGAATAGTCACAAATCGAATATTTACAGAAATATAAAATTCTCTCTTAAAAACTCTGAAAGGGACACTGAACTGATGTCTGAACAAGAAACATAGCCTGCCATAACTTTATTAAGATGGATAATTATATATACTCTAACAAGACCATTGTATTATACTTCTAGAAGACAGCTGAAAGTGCTTTTTTGCTGAAAACAACTTCAATATAATTTTAATATCTATTCCTGAAACGGTATTTACCTTGTAAACATAAAGATATTCTCTAAGGAAGGCCCCTTGTTGAGCAGCAGATTGTTTACTCTCATTGATTAAAATATGCCTGAAAGCAGACACAGCATTGTCCAGTTGCCTAAGTGTATATGACTGGCGCCCAATAGTGAAGTTAATGTGATCCTCTGCAAGAGACCAGCCTTTTCCTTTGTAAACTTGCATGGCTTGACAATAGCAGCGTAAAGCATGCTTCTTCTGAAAGAAAACAAAGTACAATCCATATTTGTCTTGGACTGGATAAAATAAATCTCACACACATATATACAAAATTAAGTAAGTGGTTCTTTCTCTAATAGAGAATAGGATGTTAGAGAAAATAAAACTAGTATTTATATAACCTCTCCACTTCTGTTCAACATAGTTCTCGAAACACTGGCCAGAGCAATTAGACAGACGAAAGAAATTAAAGGCATCAAAATAGGAAAAGAAGAACTTAAATTATCACTATTTGCAGATGACATGATTCTATACCTAGCAGACCCAAAAGGCTCTACAAAGAAACTATTAGAGCTAATAAATGAATTCAGCAAAGTGGCAGGATATAAAATCAACACGCATAAATCAAAGGCATTCCTGTATATCAGCGACAAATCCTCTGAAATGGAAATGAGGACAACCACTCCATTCACAATATCTTCAAAAAAAATAAAATACTTGGGAATCAACCTAACAAAAGAGGTGAAAGACTTATACAATGAAAACTACAGAACCCTAAAGAGAGAAATAGAAGAAGATCTTAGAAGATGGAAAAATATACCCTGTTCATGGATAGGCAGAACTAACATCATCAAAATGGCGATATTACCAAAAGTTCTCTATAGGTTTAATGCAATGCCAATCAAAATCCCAACGGCATTTCTTGTAGAAATAGAGAAAGCAATCATGAAATTCATATGGAAAAATAAAAGACCCAGAATAGCAAAAACAATGCTAAGCAGGAAGTGTGAATCAGGCGGTATAGCGATACCAGACTTCAAACTATACTACAGAGCAATAGTAACAAAAACAGCATGGTACTGGTACCAAAACAGGCGGGTGGACCAATGGTACAGAATAGAGGACACAGAAACCAATCCACAAAACTACAACTATCTTATATTTGATAAAGGGGCTAAAAGCATGCAATGGAGGAAGGATAGCATCTTCAACAAATGGTGCTGGGAAAACTGGAAATCCATATGCAACAAAATGAAACTGAATCCCTTTCTCTCGCTATGCACAAAAGGTAATTCAAAATGGATCAAGGAGCTTGATATCAAATCAGAGACACGCCGTCTGATAGAAGAAAAAGTTGGCTACGATCTACATACTGTGGGGTCGGGCTCCAAATTCCTCAATAGGACACCCATAGCACAAAAGTTAATAACTAGAATCAACAAATGGGACTTACTCAAACTAAAAAGTTTTTTCTCAGCAAAAGAAACAATAAGAGAGGTAAATAGGGAGCCTACACCCTGGGAACAAATCTTTACTCCTCACACTTCAGATAGAGCCCTAATATCCAGAGTATACAAAGAACTCAAAAAATTAGACAATAAGAGAACAAACAACCCAATCAACAAATGGGCCAAGGACCTGAACAGACACTTCTCAGAGGAGGACATACAGTCAATCAACAAGTACATGAAAAAATGCTCACCATCTCTAGCAGTCAGAGAAATGCAAATCAAAACCACCCTAAGATACCATCTCACTCCAGTTAGATTGGCAGCCATTATGAAGTCAAACAACAACAAGTGCTGGCGAGGATGTGGGGAAAAGGGTACACTTGTACATTGCTGGTGGGACTGCAAATTGGTGCAGCCAATTTGGAAAGCAGTATGGAGATTTCTTGGAAAGCTGGGAATGGAGCCACCATTTGACCCAGCTATTCCCCTTCTCGGTCTATTCCCTAAAGACCTAAAAAGAGCATGCTACAGGGACACTGCTACATTGATGTTCATAGCAGCACAATTCACAATAGCAAGACTGTGGAACCAACCTAGATGCCCTTCAATAGACGAATGGATAAAAAAAAAATGTGGCATTTATACACAATGGAGTATTACTCTGCATTAAAAAATGACAAAATCATAGAATTTGCAGGGAAATGGATGGCATTAGAGCAGATTATGCTAAGTGAAGCTAGCCAATCCCTAAAAAACAAATGCCAAATGTCTTCTTTGATATAAGGAGAGCAACTAAAAACAGAGCAGGGAAGAAGAGCATGAGAAAAAGATTAACATTAAACAGGGATGAGAGGTGGGAGGGAAAGGGAGAGAGAAGGGGAAATTGCATGGAAATGGAAGGAGACCCTCAGGGTTATACAAAAGTACATACAAGAGGAAGTGAGGGGAAAGGGAAAAATAATACAAGGGGGAGAAATGAATGACAGTAGAGGGGGTAGAGAGAGAAGAGGGGAGGGGAGGGGAGGGGAGGGGGGATAGTAGAGGATAGGAAAGGCAGCAGAACACAACAGACACTAGTATGGCAATATGTAAATCAATGGATGTGTAACTGATGTAATTCTCAATCTGTATATGGGGTAAAAATGGGAGTTCATAACCCACTTGAATCAAAGTGTGAAATATGATATATCAAGAAATTTGTAATGTTTTGAACAACCAACAATAAAAAATTAAAAAAAAAAAGAAAATAAAACTAGTATTTATATAACCTCTTCAAAATTACACAATCACATATGGAATATAAAGATTCCTCAGTCATCCGAAGGGTGTGTGTGTGGGTATATTTATGGTGCAGAGGTGTAGAGATGAAGAAAGAGAATGGAAGACCAGTCTGATCTCTACTCACTACTTCTCTGAGCGGCATCTTAAAAGGTCAACTTTAGGGTTGGGGATATAGCTCAATTGGGCCTTGCATGCACAAGGCCCTAGGTTTAATCCCCATCACCACAAAAAAACAAACAAACAAAAAGGTAAACTTTAGAAGAAAATGCTCAGTTCTCAATTTTGCTTTATTTATTTCAAATTCTTTCTGGAAGGCAGGGCCTATACAAACTAACAGTTTTCAACATCTAAGATGGGTAGATTTTGTTAGTATTATGTGAAAATCAGTTCTCATAGTGTACTATATTTTCAAAGAACTTTCTTTTCTATCAACTGAAAAATGCTAAACTTTCCCCTCTTGGCTAAACCAAAAATATGCATTTAATTTATGTGGCCACATATGCCATGTCACATAGAGATTTACATGAAATATAAGTAAACCTTACTTTTTTATATTAAAATTCACATATCAGCCCAGACATGCTGACCCTCACCAGCCTGCCAACCATAACTCACTGGCCAGTGCCCTGACAACCATGAAGTAGTGCACTGTACCTTCCAAATAGTGGACTAGGACAGCAGCACAGTGAACACTGCCTAGGCATGACATGGCAGGGTTTTCTGCCAGCATCAGATGACAGCACAGGTTCCTATTCAAGGTGGTCTCTACAAGGATTAATGTGTACAACCTGCTGTTCAGCACACCTACTGCAATACTGAGAACAGCAAGGAATTAAAACTGACTATATGCTACACAAGAAATGTGCTCAGAACAGAAATAGTGCAGAATGCCAAAATCTGTAAGTATTACAGTAAAACTGCAACATTTATGGCAATAAATGTCACCATACACACAAGAGAGGTACATATCACCACATTCTTACAGGAGTACAACAGTATGCTTCATAGAAAAGATAATAAAAAATCAGGAGGTGAAAATTTGCATTGACCATATATACTACAGAGAACTTTTAGAAAGCACTGGACACAATGGTGCACACCTATAATCACAGACACTTGGGAGTTGAAGTAGGATGATAGCAAATTCAAGGACACCCTCAGCAACTTATCGAGACCCCCCCTCCAATAACTTAATGAGAGCGGGGGATGTGTCTCAATAGTAAAGCACCCCTGGGTTCAATCCTCAATACCTGGGGAAAAAAAAAAAAAAGCAAGCAAGCTTGAAAAGCAGGTAAAGCATCAAGAAAAGATTTTAATAGAGTATAGCAGTCATTTTAACAGAAAATCAGAAAAGACTTGCCATATCTTTACATAAAAAATAAAATCTCAAAGAAAAAAACCCAAGTTTCATCAGTGACAATGGAGAGCTTTTCTCCAGATCTGGCTCTGGACTCATCAGGTACCAACCACCCTGCCATCACCACCCAGTGAATGAATAAAGTGGCCACTTTGAAAAAGATGCTTCAGCAAAAGAATCTTGTGATTTTAGAAAAAGGAAAGGGGATTACAAAGCTGAAGGCTGGTTTTCAATATCAGGAATCTCAGATGAAAATCAAAATTAAGGGGTGGGGTGGGGGTGTGAACAACTCTAAAGAACCTTTTAACCAGAACCACCATCTTTCAGTAACTCACCAAAAGGATAAACACAAAAAGAAAGAGGTACCTGAAATACATTCTCTAGGCCTTTTAGAAAACATGGACTTATTTCTTTGGCCACATACATATGAATCTACAAGAAAGGTGATATTGTTCAGTGACAAGTCCTCTGAAATGGAAATGAGGAAAACTACCCCATTCACAATATCCTCAAAAAAAATAATAAAATACTTGGGAATCAACTTAACAAAAGAGGTGAAAGATCTATACAATGAAAATTATAAAACCCTAAAAAGAGAAATAGAAGAAGACCTTAGAAGATGGAAAGATATACCTTGCTCATGGATAGGCAGAATGAATATTATTAAAATGGCCATATTACCAAAAGCATTCTACAGATTTAACATGATTACGATCAAAATCCCAACAGCATTCCTCACAGAAATAGAAAAAGCAATTATGAAATTCATCTGGAATAAGAGACCCAGAATAGCTAAAGCAATTCTAAGCAGGAAGAGTGAAACAGGTGGTATCGCTATTCCAGATCTTAAACTGTACTACAGAGCAATAGTAACAAAAACAGCATGGTACTGGCACCTAAATAGGCTGGTAGACCAACGGTATAGAATAGAGGACACAGAGACCAATCCACAAAATTACAATTACCTTATATTAGACAAAGATGCTAAAAGCATGCATTGGAGAAAGGATAGCATCTTCAACAAATGGTGCTGGGAGAACTGGAAATCCATATGCAACAAAATGAAATTGAATCCCTATCTCTCACCATGCACAAAAGTTAATTCAAAATGGATCAAGGATCTAGGAATCAAATCAGAGACTCTGCGTCTAACAGAAGAAAAAGTATGC